CACAAAGAAAGAGGCATGTTGGCCTGGAGGAGGTTGGAGCGCGCCCCTTCCAAAATGGTGCGGACTTCACGCTCAACAACCGCTTTGGTGGAATGTTGATATTCAACAGAAGTCTGGTGCTTGAAACCAAGTTCTTCTATGGCATCCAGCATTTCTGGAGCGTTGTCGGTATACACTATGCCAACAATATCAGAAGTCTTCAGAAAATGTTTAAAAGCTTTCACAATGGAATCGGCTGTTTTATTTTCTGAAGGATAAACACATCTGTATTGAGTATAAACATCTTTGATCACCAACATTGACGTTTGGCCTTCTATCCCTTCTTCAATATCCTTGGGAATAACATGGTCGCACACTATGTGGTCGCCAAACCCACGCGCCAAAACATGTTGTGATCCGCCTACGCTTCTACCGTAGGGAGCAAGCATTTTAGCTTCGCTACAAACATCGCAGTAGGGATTCTTTGGTCGATGTGTGAATTGATGCGCCCCTGATTTTGCTTCCTTTCGAAGTTGCTCTTCGGTCTTCTCCCCTGCTACGGGAACGTCTTCAAAATCAAAAGGAACCTCAACTTCTGGGTCACTGTCCTCTTCGTCCTCCTGTCCATCATCGGCATTGGCATCTACGCCAGCTTCGTCAGCCTCCTCTTGGTCTTCCTCGGGTTCGGACTCATGGCTGGCCATGGCGTAGCCCTGGTCGATGGTGAACTGGTGGATGGAATCGAGTACCTTAGTAAGGCGAGTCCTCAGTGATTCAGGAATTGAGAATGGGGTACATGTTTCATCAATATATGGAACCCTACCTTGCAATTTGAATTTAACGCATTGTCCATCAGGTCGAAGAAATATGGGAGTAGTGTCCTTTCCCCAAACAAAATCATATCCCTGTTCTAAGCACCTCAAACCAATTGAAAGTGCAGAGGGAGTACTTTGGAGAATGTAGGGGTTGAAGGATTCACATAACCCTGGCAAGATCACCTCTACTACTTCGTCAGCAGTGATAGGTCCATTGGCAGTAGTAAGGGAGATTGGTTCGTTGGATTTGAATATCTTGGTGGCCCTGTTGACTGTCTTAGAGTCCTTACCTACGATGTCCTGGTCAGTGCCAGTGTCACCCAGCCACTTCTCCATACCAACCATGTTTGGCATCGCTGTTAAGCGAGCACATGACGGCACCTGTTCTCCGACGACTGTTCTGCACTTCGTGCAGCACAAATCATCGGGGCCTTCTGGGGAATGTTCACAAAGGAAATCACACGCAGGCTCCTCGGTATCCATCGAAACGAGCATCTGCCTAAGTGACTCCGCTGCCAAAATGGCGTCCTTAGTGTCACACTCGCGGGACTTTGGGCATTCCTCAGTGGTCCGGAACAGGTTCCGCTTCTTGCTCTTATTCACTACATGCCGGTACATTTCCTTCCAAACAGGAAAGGTGTGTACCTCCGGTTCTAATTCAAAACGAATTCTCTTCTCTTGCACAACACGGAAAATTGACTTTCCAGTCCAATCAAATTTCTGTTTCGCGTTTGGGTGTTTCTTCCAATTACCCTTGATTGTCCTACTCTTTCCCTTTGAGTCAGTGACTACCATGGTAAACTGGTCTTCCAACCTAGATGACTCAACTGGACAGGATTTACGTGTTGGGAGAAACGACCTGTGCCTAGGCTTCAAATGGTGCCTAATCAACTCATTGCCATCTTTGGAGAATTCCCAGTAGTCTTTACTCTTTTGGGTCCGAGTTGCGGTTGCTGCTAAGCAAGACATTGCGAAACCTGTTTGAATACATGGACTGGCCTTTGGACTTTTGTCCTTCTTTTCCCGTTTGCTCTTTTTGTCCTTTTTGTCCTTCTTGGATTTCTTGTCCTTAGACCTTTTAGCTGCGGGCGAGGGACTCCTTCTGCGCGGGGCTGGTGTTGCAGTGTCTCCGCGTTTAAACGGGCATTTGTCACCCCTTTTGCAGTTACCCTTTGCAAAGAACCTGCATGGCTTGTCAGATTTCCTCCCTCTACTGGAGCTTCTTGATGAGTTCCTTGAACTGGAGCGGGAAGTGTGTCTTGACGAACTTCGAGATCGGCTTGACCTGAACGATGAACGGCTGCTCGGACTTGCGCTACGCGAACGAGACGACTCCCGACTAAGGGAGCGGGGACGGGCGCTAGAGTCGTGTGAGTACTTGCATTTGCTCCCGTACTTACACTTACCAGTTTTGGCACACTCATAGCATTGATTGCTTCCGTCACCCTTTGTGCTTCGTTTGCCATAACTTGGGCTTCGCGTGCGCTTGTCGTGCGGTGCCGGGTTTGCGAACTTTGCCGCGTGTGATTGCGATATCTTTTCGCGATTGGTCCTGAGCCTTTCCCTGTCAAGGTAACGTCGAACAGAATTGATAAGAAATTCATAGCTTCTGTCGTTACTTCCCTCCGGCGCTCGTTCATAAACATCAAGGTCAAATCTGAGCTTGCGGGACTTCCTAACCTCTCTATAAAACAAATCCTTGAGAGTTGCCGGGTCTGGGACATGACTCATTCCGGTCAGAACACTCTCCCATTTTCTTAGAAAGGATTTCAAGTCGTCGCTATCAAGCGAGATCTTGAGGAGGTCCTCAGTGCCATACAGTGCACCCGCTTCTTCACTGGTCTTGAAGTGGACTTCAAACATGAGCAACACCTGACGACCACGGACGATCCTACCTTGCTGTGCCTCAGATTCCTTATAATTAAGGATCTGCTGAGACAGTTCACCTTTGGCAACCTTAGTTAAAGCAGCAAGTAGTTTCGTGTCTAAGGTCCGAAACTTGCCTGGGTCAGCCAATTCGGAACAAAGCTTGGCTTTGTCTTCACGAACAGCGTACACCTCAAGCACCCATGCGAACGCAGCGTCTGGGTCATCGGACGCGGACCGTATCGCTTCGCGAACAGCGGCCCTCCAAGTGCGGTACCTATCAGGACTTGGGAATTCGGGAAGATCTATCTTATCAGCCTCCTTTGCCTTGGGTTTGTCAGAGTCTTTGCTCTTAGCGCCCTTAAACCCTTCTAGCAAGGCCTTCTTGATGATTTCCCCCAAATCTTGGTCTTGTGGAGTTCTTACCTCAGAAGCCGCCCTTCGTCCTTGCGATCATCCTTAGTCTTTGTTGCTTCCTGATTAAAGGAGCTTTTGTACAAAGGATCATCACTGAAGTTATATTGTGCTGACTTCTTCATGTACTCCGTCCACGGATCCGGTTGTTTGAATTGTTGCCTGTCCGTAGAGGCCGTTGCCTGTTCCGCTGCGGGCGCCCCTGTCCCTGAGAACATTGATGGGAATCCAGTGTTGCGCGTGGACGCTGTTGCATCCATAGCCGTCTTTATAGGGGATCCGCCTTCCTCACGGGGCTTACCGTCTAAGGTTGCTGGAACAGTGCCTTCCGTGCGTAGAGGTTCAAAAGATCGCGGTTGACCAATTGGGTGAGCGTCTTGTCGAGCAGAAGGTGTAAGTGGCTCAGGATATTGCGGCCCTGGCTTAACGGGGCTAGAGGATTGCGCCTTGCGCTCCGCTTCCTTGCGTTCCTCTTCCCTGTCTGTCAAGGACTGTACAACACGTCTGAGCTCGTCCATTTCACCCTTCAACATTGCATTGTCCTTGCGAAGCTCAACTATAGTTTGCTCTTGCGTTTCCCGATCAACCTTATATTGCTTATTTGTTGTCTCCATCTCATTGACAAGAGTTTTGATCTTTGCCTGTGCAATTGCTAACGAACTGTCCAGTTGTTCTCGCTTGAAGTCAAGCTCTATGGCGATCCGGGATTCTTCAGCAGACGAATGTCTTGCCTGATCCTTTGCCTCTAGAGCTGCCTTCAGCTTAGCCTCCTGTTGCTCAACATACTGGTGATGTTCAGTTCTCATTTTGTCAACAAAAGCATTGCCTTCTTCCGCCATGGCATTCTTTTCCTGTACAACTTTCTCATGAGCTGCTGTCGCCTGAGCTAGCCGCTGCTGAAAATGTTCCCTTTGCTCCTCCAATGTACCTTGCAACCGTTTGATTGCAACATTGTCTTGCTGTTGGACCATTTGCTGAACACTTTGTTCCTGCTGTTGTGCCCTTTGTTGAACATTCAACATTGCCTGCTCTGCGGCGGCCTTTGTTGCCGCTATAGATTCGGAAGCTTCTCTTTCGTAAATACTCCTGAAGCGCAATGCCTCGATTTCAGCTTCCCTCCTGGCTTGTTCGCTGAGCAAAAACTCATGTTGTTGTAATTCCCGTCGTAGTTCTTCGTCGTTTGGCGTTGCATTCAGGTTGACGACGTTGAGCCGAGTCATTGCCAACAAGTTGTTTACTGTTGGCGCACCAGCTACGGTGGCTGACGGCATACCTGCTAGGGTAGCTTGTGTCGCCTCTTGAAGAGTAACACTACCACCACTATTTAGCATCTCTTGGTACACCTCCGAAGCAACCCTTGGATCCATTGCAGCCACTTGTGCCACCGCTTGTTCGTGCCGTTGAACTGCATCCAAACTATTGGGCACACTCGGAACTATGTCAAAGCCACTTCCGTAGGAGTTTGGTGGGACGTCGTCATCCATCGGGTCCATAGCTCTAATCTAGCTAGCTTACGGCTGATAACCTGTATTTTACAGGATCAGCTCTATAGTACTAACTACCTAGCTAACCCTGCTAGTCCGGTAAGCGCTACCTTTTGCTCTACCTTGAGAGTCGACGCTACGGGGTCCATGGGGATGAGGTGAATTTCAACAGAATGTAAACAGCAAAAGTATAAAAGATGAATGACCAAGACAACAGAAAAATCATCAGACCCAGGCATTCCCACCACGCTCATCTGCGGGAAAACGGAATCCCATCGGCCCATCATCCCATGGCCCATCATCTGAACTGAAAAAAAATATAAAACATCCTTTATCCCAGCATTAAATGATTGGCAATTCCAAGTGTTCATGGCTAAACCAACTTCGAAGAGGATCCGCTTCCATCATCCACGTGAACCCGCGGTCGCCGCGGTCTCCGCGCCTCTTCGGGCACAAACTCCTACGGGCGAGATCGGCCGATTGAAAAATCGAGCCTGGGCTCTGCGCGCTTCCATCCGCAAAGGAACCTACAGTAATAACGATGGCCTCCAACCTACTAGCGATGGCCTCCAACCTAAATTCATGGCCTCCAACCTAATATTCATGGCCTCCAACCTAATAGCGATGCCCTCCAACCTACTATAACGATGGCCTCCAACCTACTAGCGATGGCCTCCAACCTAAATTCATGGCCTCCAACCTAATATTCATCGCCTCCAACCTAATAGCGATGCCCTCCAGCGTACTATAGCGATGGCCTCCAACCTAAATTCATGGCCTCCAACCTAATATTCATGGCCTCCAACCTAATAGCGATGCCCTCCAACCTACTATAGCGATGGCCTCCAACCTACTAGCGATGCCTCCAACCTATACTAGCGATGGCCTCCAACCTGGCCTCCAACCCAATATTCATATCCTCCAACCTAATAGCGATGCCCTCCAACCTACTAGCGATGGCCTCCAACCTAAATTCATGGCCTCCAACCTAATATTCATGGCCTCCAACCTAATGGCGATGCCCTCTAACCTACTAGCGATGGCCTCCGACCTACTAGCGATGGCCTCCAACCTAATAGCGATGCCCTCCAACCTACTATAGCGATGGCCTCCAACCTACTAGCGATGCCTCCAACCTATACTAGCGATGGCCTCCAACCTGGCCTCCAACCCAATATTCATGGCCTCCAACCTAATAGCGATGCCCTCCAACCTACTATAGCGATACCCTCCCACCTACTAGCGATGGCCTCCAACCTACTAGCGATGGCCTCCAGCCTACTAGCGATGGCCTCCAGCCTACTAGCAATGGCCTCCAACCTACTAGCGATGGCCTCCAACCTATTTGCGATGCCCTCCAACCTACTATAGCGATGGCCTCCAACCTACTAGCGATGCCTCCAACCTATACTAGCGATGGCCTCCAACCTGGCCTCCCAGCCAATATTCATGGCCTCCAACCTATTAGCGATGATGGCCTCCAACCCAATAGCGATGATGGCCTCCAGCCTACTAGCGATGATGGCTCCAACCTATATAGTAGCGATGGCCTCCAACCTAATATTCATGGCCTCCAACCTAATAGCCATGGCCTGCAACCCAATAGCAATGGCCTCCAACCTTCGGGGATGGCCATCATCAAACATTCAACCTAGTAGCGATGGCCTCCAACCTAGGAGCGATGGCCTCCAACCTAATAGCAATGGCCTCCAACCTACTAGCGATGGGCTGCATTCCCTGCAGGTCGGGCCGAAGAAGGCATCTTTCTTTTACTGTAAGTGGAAGTGTAAACTCTGCCATGCAAGTGTCTTTTTTTGCTGTCGAACTCCCTTTCTGCCAGAAACCGCTCAACTGCTCAACTCGGGTCCAAGTGAACGTCCGGATGATTTAGGGGGTGTCGAATCTACAGCGATCCCAATTCGTGTCTAAAGGTCACAGCGGCTGTTTGTGGGCTCAAAAAGGAAAAACCCGTCTCCCTGGTGAAGCATCAATGATTTTCACGACTTTCTGGACACGCAGCCCCAACCAGAAACAAGTTTGGTGGTTCCACTATGGCAGTTGAGATCCTTCACACAGGAAATGGCTGGGGCTGGGGCTTGAACATTCTCACTTGCACGAGGAAAACCTCGAAGGAATGCACAGGAGCTTAGGCCGGCTTGTTAATTTGGAGTGACGGGCCACAGAAATGTCTGACCTGGCACAGTTGTGGTAAAAAAGACCGGACTGGGACTGTAGAATCAAGCAGTCGTGTTGTGTTGTGTTTTCTTTTGTTCGATCCACTTTGTGGTTTAAAAAACCTTGGGACTGTAGAATCAAGCAGTCGTGTGCTTTTTTTCGATCCACTGTGAATCCACTTCTATGAGTGTCGTAGGGTGCGTGGGGAGAGTCAATGCCTCTTCCCTTGGCTTTCAAGACCAACCAAGCCTGTTTGAAGCTTCAGAAGCTTGCTCCCCCAGTTGCAGCAGTCGTTGCAGCTCACGGTGCTTCGTTGCAGCAGGCGACTCGTCAAAGTGGGGGCGACTCGTCTCCACGTCCTGAGGAGCGTCTCCAGGAGCCTCGTCATGGTGCTCTTCCACTGCTTCCAGTTGCTGACCTCGAAGAAACGCCCCAGCTCGGGAGACCAACCGGGTTCGGTCGACCCACCGGGTACGGCGGTTTGGGGCGAGACGCGTGGGGCGGCGACGCGTCTCGTAGGGCCCCGCACCGGGGGACAACGGATCGGTGCTCACGCGTTCGCGTGACGGATCGATGCTCCGGAGAAAGCCTGAAATGTCCTGCGAAGGCGGAGACCCCCTGGGTCGAACATGTTGATTTGTCCTTCCAGGGGGGATCGGAACGCCGGACGGAGGTCTCCCTGTTCGAAAAATGGTTCCCTCCTAGTGTGCTTGTCGGTCTGTCGCATTTGTTGACCCCAAACTCAGCCTTCGAACAAAAGGTAAGAGCATGTAAGAACCACCTGCAAACAGCAAACCCAGTCGCAACAATAAAAAGTTCTGGATGGAACTCTCCACTTCCGCCACTTCCGCCACTTCCGATGTCAAGGATCTCACCATTTTGGAACAGCCGAACTTGTTTCTGGTTACCGACGTGGTGAAACCCAACACGTACCGCTTGGAGGCCACCGGAGTCCCGCACCATGTGCATTCAGTTCGAACTGAAGTCGTTCCTCACCAGTGAACATACAAGTTCCTCACCAGTTCTGCGGGACACACCGAGAAACGGAGGACACCGAAGTCCCTTCCTTTGCAAAAGAAACTCCTGAAGAGAGACTCCCGAGACGCCACAGAAACCTTCAGAAACCTTCAGCGGCTCGACTTTCCTCCCAGGGGCGGTTCAGCCAGAGCCAATCGTCCCCATTCCTGAGAACAGGTGCGGTTCAGCATGTGTATGCTTGCAAGTGAGACAACAGAAACGCGAAAGTAATCGCCCTTAAGTAATTAACAAGCGGTTTTCTGCATACAAACCTCTTGGCAGTAGACTGCACCATCTACTCTGAACATTGAACCTACTTATAGCATCTTATAGTTCCTTCGTTTTGACTGAGAGGAATCTGAATGGATGAGACACCTCCGGACATGCAGAGGAAAACGTCATCTGTGGAAACGATAAGATATGTGAGGTTTCACATATGGCGATCGGGGATGTGTCCTTTGCAAAGTCCTCGAAATGGTTATTACACATGCTAACATTCAAAAGCTTATGCCTCGGTTATCCGAAGGGCGGCCGAGCGTCGGCACCTGCCGTGGGTTGTTGAAACCCTGACACCGTCCCGACCCTCGTCGACGGTCCTGACCAGTGTCCGCAACCCTGAAAAGTCAACCCCCAAAAAAAAACTGCGTGTGTGTGTGTGTGTGTACGCGCACATCTACGTCCAACTCAGGTTTCAGGTCGCCCAGGTTTCGACAATGAGGTTTCATCGGTTGTCCCTGTGCATTTGGTTTCTCTTTCATCGCAACTGCACACACTTTTGTCCCGTCGTCTTCCTTTTCATGTCTTCATCCTTTTGTCCTTGCTGCGCGCACATTTGCACATTGGTCCTAGCCTTAATTTTGCCTCCCCTCGGGGAGGCGTGTGTGTGTAACCCTTGGAATCACAGGGATCCTTTCGGATTGTTCTTGCTTTTTGTATTTTCGTTTTGCTGCAGGGGGACACAGCATTTCACTGGGACTGTGTCCAACGAAGCTACCAGTGAAATGAGATATCCAGCTTGGCCAGCTGGACGTACCTGCGATTTTCCACTTTTCCGGATGGCAAGAGGCTAAGCCAAGAACCTCGAAGATTTGATGTTTTCATTGAACTGCAGATGCGAGCGGAACGTCGTCAGCCTGTTCGTCCGTCGTTCGTTCTCTTCCTTTTGGGCCCTACTTCCTCTTGAAGACCTCCAGGATCCAGTGGTTCGTACATGTACCCTTAGGAATTGGAACCCTAGGCCGGCGTGTGGCACCGCTATCAGTTCCGTATGCATATCCATAAGTGTGTTTGGCCTCGTGCCAACCCGGGATGAGCCCGCAGAGTGCCTCCCGTGGACCCGTTGAACGGGGGTTTGTCGCTGTTTCCCTTGCTTTGGAAACGTAAGTGCCCACAGCGGGCGAAGCTGGCTTATGCCTCAAGAAGTGGGATGTTTGTCTCATTTTTGGAATTCCAAGTTGGCTCATGCCTTTACGTGACCGTAGCGGTCAGAGGTGGCAGCCCTCGGGCAAGCAGTACGTGGTCGCAGCGACCGAAGCTTGTTCAAGGTTCATTGGAACCTGTCCCACTCTCAGGTGCACACACATCGTACACACCTTAACGAGGCAGGTCTTCCTAGGTTGTTGCAATGAGGTCTGGGCTCATCGGTTCCCGTCCCCCCCATTTGGTTCCCTTTTCATCCTTTCCCCTTCGCACACTTCTGTTCCTCTTTCTTTTCATGTCTTCCCTTGCTTCATGTCCTTTCATCTCACTCCTTTCGTTCTTTTGCGCGTACAACGGTCCGGGCCTTAGTGTGTACGCGCACATCTACGTCCAACTCAGGTTTCAGGTCGCCCAGGTTTCGACAATGAGGTTTCATCGGTTGTCCCTGTGCATTTGGTTTCTCTTTCATCGCAACTACACACACTTTTGTCCCATCGTCTTCCTTTTCATGTCTTCATCCTTTTGTCCTTGCTGCGCGCACATTTGCACATTGGTCCTAGCCTTAATTTTGCCTCCCCTCGGGGAGGCGTGTGTGTGTAACCCTTGGAGTCACAGGGATCCTTTCGGATTGTTCTTGCTTTTTGTATTTTCGTTTTGCAGCAGGGGGACACAGCATTTCACTGGGACTGTGTACCAGTGAAATGGGATATCCAGCTTGGCCAGCTGGACGTACCTGCGATTTTCCACTTTTCCGGATGGCAAGAGGCTAAGCCAAGAACCTCGAAGATTTGATGTTTTCTTTGAACTGCAGATGCGAGCGGAACGTCGTCAGCCTGTTCGTCCGTCGTTCGTTCTCTTCCTTTTGGGCCCTACTTCCTCTTGAAGACCTCCAGGATCCAGTGGTTCGTACATGTACCCTTAGGAATTGGAACCCTAGGCCGGCGTGTGGCACCGCTATCAGTTCCGTATGCATATCCATAAGTGTGTGTCCGTTCTCTTACGGGGCCCCCAGAAGAAACCTGCTCAATCTGGTTCCGAAAGCCAGCCCGCACCACGCATGTCGTGTTGGTGACACAGTTCGGGACTTCTAGACTGCCACACTTCGGAGTCTCTCATGCTTCCAAGTCATGGTCCAACACTTGGGTGTTATGGTCTTGTAGTGTCTGGCACTGGTCTGGTCTTTCGACCCAGTCCCGCTTCCAAGTCTCTCAAAAGAGTCGAAAGTCATGGTCTTGTAGATGTTGCTCTCCACTTTTGGCTGCTCCGTCACCTCCGTCGCCTGAAGCGATCGCTGGTCAGCAAAAAACAAAAGAAACCATGGGGCTTCACGGCTTATGTTGATCCCGAAAACATGAGAAAATATATATATAATATATAAATGCCATGGGCAGAAACATAGTAGCCACTTATCTCTCACTTTCATGCGTTTTGTTAGGTGTTTGTTTTTTTATGGCTGTGCCAAGTTCTTGGCCGCGATCATCCTCCAAAACACCAAACCTGACTCATCTGACATGATTTCGTGGTGAAACCACCCAGTAAAACCTACGTACGTCCCCAGTAAAACCTGGTCTTTTACCTCTTTTAAGTAACGTGTTAGTTGTGTTTTTGTATGACCAACTCCAGCAAAATGAGGTTTGTGACCTGTAGGGCACAAACCTCAACTGAACCCCCAAAGCAACCATGGAAGTTCATCGCTTGGAGTTCCGTCCAGTTTCTTCGCGCTTTTTTGGGATCCGAAGTTCCTCCTCCTCCTCCTCATCTTCCAACAGGTCCTGAAGGAGTCGCGGTGGGTGTGAGGCGTTCGGCGACCAAACGGCCGGGTGAGTTCCGTTCGCGGTCGCGGTTTCTTCAACGGGTGAGGTCCTGGAAAAAAAGCAAAGGGGTTTTGTGGTTTGTTTGGAACTTCGCAGGGTGCGAAGGATCATGTCAATCCTTTGCAGACATAAAGGGACGATACCTACTATTTCAATCCTTTGGATCTGAGCCACCTACAAGATGGAGCCTTCTACACGCCCCGCAAGAAAACATTCACAAGATCTACGCGTCGGATGTTGGACAACGGATGTTGGACAATTGAAGTCTCACCACCACATGAAGGTGTCCATCCCCCAAAGCCGAGGGATGGGCCTTCGGAGTGCTCGAGGGATGGGCTCCAAGGTCCAAATCAAAAGCCATCAACGGCCCAAACCAAGAACCCCTCCCCTGACCCAGAAACGAGCGAAACCGCCCACTTTCGCCGATGTCCAGTGTCAGCGGCCGCACCTGGACGTTAGAGGCGGGTGCAGGGACGGTGTTGGCCCGCTGCAGTGCCTCCGACCTCGCTGAGCGGCCGATGGTCCAAGATCCGAACCTTTTGAACCGAAAAGGATGACTTTCGTTCGACAAATATGACTTTCTTGCTGGAACCTCGTCATTTTGGTCATCTGGTCATCTAGACTCTGGTTCTATTTCTTTTGCACCCAGACAGCCCTTGATCGCTCAAAACCTAGGGCATTTGAGACCGTCCGATCCCTCCATGTCCAGGAGCGTTTGGGCACTTCATGCTGCTTTCGGGAGTGGAACCAGGATTCTCAGCGCCTCGACGAGGTAACGCCGCTTTTCCTTTGAGCGCTTTCGAGTCCCAAAACCGAAGAAAAAAAACATGAACAAAACCGATCTCTAAAAGCGCCCGGTCCCAGGAGAAGATCCCAACAGAAGATCCGGAGCTGCTCGGCCTCGCGCCCTCGTCCAACTCCAAGAAAGTGTTCTTCACCATCAACGGCGCCTGGCAGGCGCCGATTTGAGGTGGAGGAGCCGATTCCGACCCGCATCCGGGAAGTGGATGTAAGAGGTGTTTGTGCGTAACTGTCGGGTGTCAGACTGGATGGGTGTTGAGAGCAGGGACCTGGGTGAGACTGGACCCAGGTCCTAATGGATCCAGTGGTTTTCTCCCCCGAACTCCGGGGAGTTGGACTGGCCTGCCACCAAAGGCTTGGGGGAAAAGTTGGAGTACTTAGCAGGTCAAGGGTTCCGAGCCCTGCAAACCACGCCTACAAGTCATTCACCTGGCACCACCAATCATTCAGGCACCATCCGGAAACCCCAGTCCCCAGAACACCCCCGGAGCCCACCCCCGAGACCCGACCGAACGAGACTCTGATCACGTCATGCACGAAGGAATCTTCGGGTTCCCACTCTCCCTCCCTCCGATTCACCCATTCCATCATGTGGCGCCAGATGCGGCTTGTGCGGCATATCCATACCTTCCATATCTATCCCCTGGCCATACTCCGACCCCTCCTTCATGGGCTGCATGCTCGTCGAACTCCAGCTACTCGCCCCCTGCTGCGCGGAGTAGCCCGCCGCCGCGGGTGCGCCAGGTGCGCTCAGCCCGACGGCAGCCCCTGGTCGTGCGTCGAGGGTCCGAGACCCTTGGAGTGGGAAAAAAATAACATTGATGTGATTTTATAGATGTCCTTATATATATGTAGGTCAAGATTCCCCAGGATGGCATCAAGCTGGCCAATGCTTCAAAAAGAAGGGAACCCAAGAACTTCAGCGGAGGATTCTTTGGAGTTTCTCCACTCGGCTTCTGCGCTGCCAGCAAAACGTTGGCTTGCTCGGCGCGCTGCTGCTGGCGGCACCCACTCTTAAAGGAAATCGTACCGCTTGGATCCCCGGTGACTTCTTGGATCCAACGAGAGCAGGTTTTTCAGTGAATCCTTGGATCCGCAAAAGCCACAAAACTTTCCACTGTGGGAATGAATTGTAATGTAATGCTTGGGCGGCCATTAGCTACCACACAAAACATACACATAATCATACGCATGTCCCATCTTACGTTTGGAAGAAATCAAAGACCCTTGATGGCAATGCCAGATTCCTTTCACAGACCATTTTGGCTTTCAAAGACCAACATGAAACCTGTTGTCAGGATTTGTCGGGTCTGGCTTTGGCACGCAACCCCGATCAAAAGGTCTGCCATAGACCTAGACTAAAACGGCCAAACAAATCCCTGGTTCCCAAAAGAAGTGGCAACTGGGATCCACCAGGTTTTGTTAGGTCCACTTGCCGCAGGGCGCCCGGTGCCTGCGGAGCCTGTTCTCCATGCTCCCAGGGGCCCTGAGTCTCGCGCCGCGGCGGCGGCGAAGAAAGAGAAGATGGAAAGGATCGGTCCATAGCTATGGATGTGTATTACTGCTAAACGAAAGCAAAGTTGCGGCTCAAGGCACAACATGTTCAACTGGAAGGGGATTGGGGTGTGGAGTGATTCCCTTATGCAGAGTATCCCTGCAACGTGTCCGTGTGTTAATGTATCTTGTAATCCCTCAAAAGCTCGGTGCCATGTCCAATCGATTTTAAAGGGATTACATGAAGAGAGTGAAGAGAGTGGCCAGTCAACTGGACGAGATTCGTCGTCTTAGCACCGTGAGCACCGGGTGAAAACACAGGAGTCCTTGTTGCGAGGTCCGAGGTCCTTGTGAGCTCCAGCTGTGCTATCTGTGCTTCATGTTCAAAGGTCGCGGTCCCAAGTTCAAAGGGCGAGTCCCAACTTAATGATATATTATATTATTTCAAAAAGATTACAGTAAACATGTGAGACAACTGCACACCCAGGCCAAAAACGTGGGCCCCCCCCCGATTATAACATGTTTATAATTCGCGAACCTGATCAACTGACCCGCTTAGATCGAGGTTCAAATGTCACCTCACCAATCACTCACCGCACGTCGGGATGTCATTGGGAAAATTGAAGGGATGTGGCGACCCTCGAATATGAGTGTGTATTTTAACATGGAGACTGGTCGATGTCCCTTTTTTCGCTCGTTGCCTGGGAGGTCTCCCTATTTGAGCTACACCATATGTATGCCAAGAAATGGACATGCTCTTTTTCGGTGGGAAAAGAAAGAAAGAGGAGAGAGAGAGGGACCTTCAGCTGATCCGAGAATGAGGCGAGGACCCTCCAAAAGGTCCCTATTTCTACTCCAAGGTCCTGTGTGAAGCCTCTATCTTCCAGAGTATCCGAACGTCGATGCTCGCTGTACGGAATGTTCGTGACCGTCTTCAATGTTCGCTAATCGATTCGAGGTAGTTCTTGCTGAAGTCTTCACAACCTCTTGTCCTATTTGCAAGAGACCTGCATGTGTTCTGCTGGTCAAATGTCCTCCTTTCAAAGCAGCTCCTGCATGTGTGGCTGAGCATGGCTGAGTCTTGCTGACTTGACCACAGCTGACCATGCTTAAGAACAAACTTAAGAACCAACCCACCCATCCTTTCGCAGTAGAAAGCCGTGAAATTCCTCTGTACTCGCTTGCATCCGCCCAGGCCTTCCTTCCCTCTTTTCAGCCGGGTTCTTCGTTTCGCACGATCCGTGGTTTCGGATCGAAGGCTGTCTTGCATGGTCCACATCAATTCAGTCTTGGTGTTCTTCATCTCACAGGACCAGACGTCGCAATCCATCTCCTACCTACCCGGCCACAGGACCTGCCTCCCTCCAGTCCCCTACATCAACAAAAAACAGCACCTCGAAACAATCGTTACATACATGTCGTGGTTCTTTGGGGTGTTCGATGTCACATGTCTTTCTTCAACGCAGTCGCTGTTCTCGTCTTTCTTCCACACACCCGCTCGCCTTTCAGCAGCCGCCTGGCACTTGCGGCTGCTGGAACCCTTGTCGAGAAATCGAAAGAACATCTATTGCCAATTTACAGTACAACCACCCTACAGTACAACCATCCTACAGTACAACCATCGTCTCTTGAACCATTCTACAGTAATCTTGTTGGCACAGATCTTCTATTGCCACCCTGGAACCTACCAGAGGGGCAGGTTGGATGATCTGGGAGGGGCAGAGGGTAAACCCTCCATCCTGTGGGCACCTGGTAGGCCCCAGGCCTCCACCTCCCTTCCAAGCCGCTACTCCCCGGTGTTGCCTTCGCTCCAAGGGTTTCAGTTGCAACGCCTCCGCGAAGTCATCGAAAATCTCCTGACACCGGCGTGGCAGCGCGCAAGCGCGGTCGATCTCATCACCCAGCGCGCGCTGGGTGATCTCTTCATCGGCGCAAAGAAACGAGGAGTCTGAGTCGAAGCACCGGCCGATTTGCACCGAAGAGCGCGGGGCGATTTGCACCGCACACCCGGGTTCGGTCGATGGGTTGCCGTCGAAGTCAGCACGGCCACCCAACGATCAAGGTTGCGTTGTTTTGTCGCACGACCATGGGGGGCAGGTATCACATGCCATGCGTGACATTGATATCGGACTGTGGGGACGTTTTTGGAGGACAAAACAGTCGCTCTAAAGCAGTTGAGTAGGGTTCTAGCTAGGGCTAAAGTCAATCCATCCAAAAGTCCTTTCTTCATCATGGTGAATGAAGCATGAGGAGGTCTACTACGCCCATGCAGGTCGTCGATGAGTGCTGAACCCCCTGCGCTCTCAAGATTGCTCCGAACCACTCGATGTTTTGGGAAAGAAACGGCCAAAGCCTTTGGGCCTTCCACTGGTCCAGCTTTGGGCCTCCCACCGGAAAAAACCGGTCATGTCTGCAGAAGCAGATCTGCAAATTCAGGTACCACCTCAGGCACCCTTCAGACTTTGCGTCACCCCTCTTGAGACACCCAATCCCCCAAAATCCCGTCCAAACCAGAGCCTCCCCGCCCCCAAAGTCACGACCTCGTGAGGAAGATCGGGTTGCCCCGAAACCACCTCCACGGCCCCTGGAACTAGTGACTAGCCATACCACCCAAACTCACATGGTGACTCCTGGCCTAAACTTCCTTTTGTGGCACCCACTACCGGACCCCCACTTGGACCCCCTTTCAGGAGGTCTTCTGCTTCCTTCTCCACCTCCCACCGTTCCTCTTCGCTGATCTCCTCCATGTCCTTGGGACCCATCCTGGCGAGGACGACGACCCCCCTATCCGTGCATGGAGAGTTCACGTCGAACTGTGAACGATGTGTGAACTACAGCAACTATAGAAGAACATAGAAGCCACCATAAATAGTGTGTTCAAACTTCATAGATGTAAGTCTTCGACCTTTCTCCATCTCTTCAGGTTCCATGAAGATGATGTCCCTCTCTCTCTCTCTCTCTCTGTCTCTCTATCTCTCTTCGAAACCCTCCCATCCCCCACGCATTCCCCCCACCCGACTCACGCTCTCTCTCCCCCCCGCGTGCGTGGGATCGCCTGTCACACCACTCGGCTGCGGCCACCAGGCACCGCTCTAAACCCGCGTTCCGCAGCTCATCTTCCAAGCCCGGCACCAACGCCGCCATGGGCGTCGCCCACGGACCGGCCCTTGTCCCCTGGGCCGGGCTTATGGGCGTGCGGCGGATCTCTCTCCAGCAGCCCAAGAAGCTGCGGGGGGTGGTTGGATGGAAAAAAAGGGGGATGGAAAAAGGGTTGTATATAAGGGATTAAGGGGATGGTGACAGCTGTATGTTGAAAGGATGGATCGGATGGATGGATTCACTGAGTGTCCGGGTCAACCAAAAATTGCACCTAAAGAATCCTCTGAATGTTCTGAATCCGCTCATCAGAAGAAGTCAAGGGATCTTTTGCTGGTCTTCCAGCTTCCAAAAAGGGTGCAGAAAAGGAAGCTCTTAGCAGAACAAATTGGTCAGATGCGGACGTTGTGTGCGCAACTATGTGTATGGCGTATGGCATACAACTATTTGAAAAGACACGTTTCTTGAAGTTACCCTGAGATCTCTCCTTTCAGCCTGGCATGTCTGTGCATCGTAGAGTTCAGTGCTGAAGCCCAAAAGAACCGCACAAGAAGCACAAGTCCAAAGCATGACGCAGAGTTGATGCACACGCGCTTGATCGCTTGATCGAGTTAGTTGGACAAGAAAAAAATCTGGCATCACGCGTCAGTGGAGGCAAGCTATAGCTTAGCTTGGAGGAGGCCTTTCCATCCCAAAAAGTCAGTGATCATCTTAGATAGCACACGACCATTGACCCGGAAGCCCTATCTTCTCCCAGTCTCGATCCTTCCCAGATTTCGTCCGCCATGGAAGCTTCCAAAGCAAGGAAGCGTAAGCCATTGTAAGCCATTGGACATGAAGCACATGTAGCCTGCAACAAAAGAGTCTTCATGTAGACCTCGTCATGATCTTTCAACCCCCCCAAATGGCCAGCCAAAGCCCCCTAAACATCAGCTTCGTTCTCTTCCATGTCCCGGGGTGAAAAATATCATCAGATGACTGGATTCCCATTCCCTTCGCATGTCGGTGGACGCATCCACCGCCGCGGAACCCGCAGAACCGCTTTTCCAACCGAAAACCGCGTGGCTCAGCTGTGTGGGCGGCATGTCGGAAGGGGTGCCGTCGGAAGGAAGTGCCTTCACAAAAAAGATGCTCGTAGGGTACCAGGTGGTACCAGGGGCCTAAATAGATCCAGGACAAGCTGAGTGAGCCTGCACACAGACCCTGTTGACCCTCTTTTTCACCACCTCCAAAATGAAGATCACTCAGGGTTCGAGGCTCTTTATAGATCAGATCTGTCACTGGAAAGTCGTCAGATCGAAGACTGGAAAGTTGTCAGATCGAAGACTACGAATTCCTCGAACAAAAATAGCAATGAAAACAGGACTGAAACCCACTTCCTTTTTTTCTGTGCAGCGCCATGTGATGATAGCTCGGGCATGCTGAGAGGTGAGAGGTCATGCAAAGATGGGCTGCTCACCACTGGGCCTTTGTCAGACCGTCCCAAATGTCCCAACAACGTTGGCGTCTGAATCGATGGACCCTCTCCTTCCGGCAGAAAATGGCCGAACTCGGCCAGAAGAGTGAACAAGATCAGCGAAGCCGCGAAGCAAAGGTCTTCCAGACCACTACCATTCACTGAGCAAAGTTGATGCATCCTAGAAAGTCCATGTATCATGAGCCTCAAAAGAATGGTTGGCCATTGTGTCCTTCTGGGTTTGGGCCGCAGAATAAAGAAAGAGTCTTATAGCACTCGGGAAAACTTCCCGCTGAAATGCTTCTCATCGGAAACGATGTCTGAGACGACTGGTCCACTTAGATGGCAACTAATGAAGTTGCACTCCCGACGACCAACATAGGCATGGATGCCTCACCAACGTGTCAAAACACATTCCAGAGTCCATGTTCAATATTCATGCAAGTTTGGAAGAGTGTACTGTATATCTGAGTGACCTATTTTGGGACCACCAACCACCAAATATTTGGTCTTTTCCTATTGAAACAGGGCTCAAATGGCTTCATATCTATACAGTAGCATATACATACAACAGGCCTTTCTCATTAAAGCGGGGAACTCCAAAGCCCTCCTTCGCGCTTTCCGGGCGCAGGGAGAGCATTCCATGCCCCGCACACAAGCTCCACACTCGGCGCGGAGGGATTGCAATCAGCGGTGCAGACTTGGACCGGTGGAGTCCGGGGAAAAAGAGAGAGAGACTCCTGCTTGGAGGCCATTGCTATTAGGTCGGAAGGCCATTGCTACTAGGGTGGAGGCCAGTGCTATGAGATTGAAGGTCATTGCTATTAGGTTGGAGAAATCTTTGACAAGGCCAGCAGCTGAAACACCAGGCTCTGCATCAAAAGGGCGTACCTCCACCGCTGCAGGCTCCATCAGCAGCTCTCTCAGCAGAAGCTCCGTGCACGGCAGTTTCTTGGCGTAGAGATTGACAAGCAAGAGAACAACAGGTACCACACGAGCTCGGGATGTTGAGGCGTGGGCTGGATGGTCGGCTGGATGGCATGGTTCCGGCTATATGTGGTCTTAAGGCACTCTGCAGGTTGGCAACCTAGTTTCCTCCAGAGCGATTGCCTGCACTCCCACCTCAGACCTCTCAAGAACAGAACCAATGGAAAGGTTTGTCAAATACACTTGGGTTGCTGTAGTCATTGTAATGAGCTTTGTGGTCGTGTGCAAACATCAGAAGGGTGAAGCGACAGAAAGAGAAGAATGTCTGGAATCTACCACATTAATCTTCAATCAATCCGAGCACTAGATACATTTTATATACAGTACATATGTGCGTCGCCGTAGTAGACATCCGATTCCGAAATATACTCAGGACGGTGCCAAGACTTCCCCCGTGAGAAGACCACCACCCGTATGATATGGGAGTGTATCTCTTTTTTAACAACCAATGGGTAGACAGTAGACTGGTCATGACTGGTCTATTTCTCTTCTCTCCAGGGAGTCCAACTTGAGTCCAACTGCCCTAAGGCCCTACGAATCCGGACCCTCCAAAACGGGGCAAAACGGGGCCACCCCTGTGAACAGCAGGCTTCGACCCCGGTCCGTTCAGATCCTTCGGGTGGGAGTCGGGTCCCGTTCGCCCCAAACGTCATGGCGACGACGGACCGGGTTGCGCGAAGCGCGTCAGGACTTCGGAGGACTTCGGAGGACAAACAGAAAAAAAGAAACGAAAAGCGGCCTTTGTAGATGGCACACACCTCAAGACATGAGGGTCCTTGGACCTCTAAAAACCTCAACCCGGCCCAGTTCCGCCCGCTCCGCCCCTCCATCTGACCACGTCGCATCGGTCGAGGCAACCGCCCCGCCAACCGCCCCTCAGGCGCCCGGCGGAGCGGAGCCTATGCCTTGATGTAGACAAAGACTTGGTCATCCTTCTCGTTCCGGAAGACCCGCAAGTCGTCATCCAGGTACCTCGGTCCACAGCTTCAGCTTCAGCTTCGGCAGTCATCGCGAATTTCGGGAACTGAGCGAGCGGGCGAGCGGGGCCGGTGTGTGTTCTGTTGTTTCGAAGCGCGGGAAGAAGGAAGGGCGGATCAAACCGGGGAATCTTGGGGGGGTCCCAAGCTGAAAGCGCGAAAAGGAAGGGAATCTGTGGGTCAAAAGATTCTTCTAGGATTCTAGGATCTGTGTTGAAAGGCTTTTAGATCCGCACAAAGTTCCAGTGCGACCTCTGCTCCCACGCACTTGAACTGACTGTTCATCATGGAGTTCTACCGCCAACTGGTTCACAACAAATGTTTGTTTTCTTCGTTCCCACCCACCCGAGCACGGTGCCCAGGAATCCGCACGTGACGCGCACACGCACGCGGGCATTTTCCCCAAGGAAGGACTGGCCGGGGCGTTGGCGGATGGTGGGGGCGCTCGTGCCGCGGCGCGCGATCCCTGGGATGAGAAGGAGAAACAGTGTCGCACATGCCGTCCTCCAAATAGAGCACGTGGAAGATTTTAGCAGGACGAAGCGACTGCCCTCAAACACAGCACCAACGGTGGTTAAAAGATACTTGAAGATCCTACGACTATCAGAGCTTGGTTGTGAGGATCAGAACTGCAATGAGGCTCTGAAACTTCAAAAGAATAGTATGCATAACAGGTCAGGTCTCTTGGTGGGCATGTCCACTGTGAAAACTCTGCAAAGGTTTTCCTTGTGGATGGACATGGAGAGCTACCCCAAACCACCCGTGCCTACCCCAAACCACCCGTGCCTTGCTGTAGCTGCATCTGTGTGCAGGCTGTAGCTGCAAGACTATGATGGTGGAAATATGATACAGGTGTAAACGGTTTTGGAGTGTCGTGAACGTTGTTGTTTGTAAGGGTCCAAGGATGTCCAAGGTACAAGTTGCCTGCACGTCAGACATGTTTGCAAAAACCAAAGCATTGAAGATACCCCGCACACTTGCGCGCACTTGCTGACCTCGGAGGGGAAGACAACTTGATCCGCAAAGGGCAAGGTGTTGTCCACCGCCTGAAGGGCGTCCGAGAAGGTGGGGGGAGTGGCTGGTCTGGGAGACGACTACTTCCCGCACAACGTGTGAACAGATAGGGGTTGTGACGCGGTCTACGTTGTACGCCAAAAATACCCAACAACATCCAGATCCCTCCAATCGAAACATGACCGAAATTGGGGCCTGAGTGGCTTTCAACGAAATTCCGGCTGAGGTTCCAACCTCGACCACGCCGAACCTCCGTGTTTCAACCCGAACCACCCAGAGCCTTGGCTTTGCAACCCTCTTCAACCCGCTTAGAGTCCTGTAGCGGGTGTAAGGGCACCCCAAGAGAACCCAAACAGTGTTAAGTTGAACAAGGTGAATAGACGAACTTCAGAACTCTTGGAACACACACTCGGGATAGAAGTACGATCTGATCGCTCCAATCCCTGAAGAAACCTTGGTAATGAAAACGCCTACAGGGCCTACTGTAACTAGTACAGAAGGATCCTAAGTTTCCAAGCATCCTCAAGGTTTCCAAGTTCAAGAGTCTCAAGTGCCTTCTATGCGAAAGTCTCCAAGTTCTCCACAACACAAAGTGCAGTCGACTGCAGTGAGGTTTCATCACCGACGGGGCCAGGCGTTTCCAACTTGCTCTCGGGACAAGGACCGGCATACATATGCGAGCAAAAACCATGAGAGCACGCACATGACAGCACATATATGTGAGAAACCACATGAGCCTGCTGCACCGAAATCTGCACAGTGCGGTTCACAAAGCGCTGCGCCGAAACGCGAAAGCCACACAACCCGGTGCGCCTGTACCGCGCTGTCCCTGGCACGAAACATCACGAAATCCGCCCTTGGCGATCAACAAAGTGCTGCCCCTGCGACAAAGTCGTGGGCTCACAAAGTGCTATGGCACAAAATCTGCCACGAGCTCTCCACAAAAAGCTGGAGATGCCAGAACCAAGCTTTCGCAACACTTCTAGAAACGAGCCACATGTCCAAAGTTCACTGTCTTCACTGCACCGCCACGCCGCCAAAGACCCAACAAGTCCAGAGTGATGCACCGGAAATTGCACTTGCCACGAAAACCGAAGGCAAAACGGCCAGCACCGTTCACGGGACTACGACGAGAGGAGAGCGAAAGGTAGAAGCACCAGTTTGTCCGGCCCAGCCAGTTGGTTTGAGCCTGCGCAGTCGAAATGCAATGAATGTGCTGTAACTGGCAATGAAAGCACCGCCCACTTGTGCAGCCTCAACCCTTAATTCTTAAGAACTCCTAGTGTGACCACACTGTTTGGGCCAAAAAGCTCCCGGTTCTCCGACTCAGCTGCTCCCCGGCTGCGCTGCTGGGCTCCCCCCCGCTCGTTTGCCTGGGTGGTCTCCACCGTCAACAGCAGCTCGGAGCCATCCGGCGAGGCTTCGTACCTGCCCCGCGAGGCATGGTGGGCGGGGCGGGGGCCGAGGCGCGGGGGGGGTCGCGCATCGCGTTGGGAGGACATTCCAGAGTTGTGGAAAGGTCTGCAGAGATCCGAATGCGTTTGGCAGAGAATGTCTTGGCGAATTTGGCAAACGATGTCTGGATCTCCACGAGTGATCCACATGCCATGGGCGTGGTTTCGCACCCGCCTGATGGCCCTTTGTGGTGTCGGGGTCGGTGGATGCAAAAGGCTTTACCTCATTGACCTCCCCGATATGTTGGGAGATGGAAAGAAGTACAGCTCCCAGACAACGACTAATGGGACTACCATATATGCCTACATTGGGGTGGTGCCAGGGGGGTCAATGTATGCATATATGGCAGTCCCATGCCCTAGGCTTCCAACACCATTAAAAAGATGGCAGCTGTGCCGCCGAAGCAACTCGGAGTCCAATCCGTTCGAGCACAGTAACAAGTGCCACGCTAGTAGTAACAGGTGCCTTACTAGTAGTAACAATGTTTGCTATTGGGAACAAGTGCCTTACTACTAGTAACAATAAGCTATTAGTAACAAGTGCATCGCTACTAGGAACAAGTGCCTTACTACTAGTAACAATAAGCTAAGCTACTAGGAACAAGTGCCTTACTAGTAGTAACAATGTTTGCTATTAGGAACAAGTGCCTTACTACTAGTAACAATAAGCTATTAGTAACAAGTGCATCGCTACTAGGAACAAGTGCCTTACTACTAGTAACAATAAGCTAAGCTACTAGGAACAAGTGCCTTACTAGTAGTAACAAGAAGCTATTAGTAACAATAAGCTTTCATCGTTCTCTCTTCTTCAGTGACATCCGTTCGGGCGCAACGGTGGCCAGAGCGTCTCCAGACAGGGAACACCCCCGTCCCGTCGGGGGAGGTCCGGGCAACCAAAAGCCAAACGGGAACTTAAACGTGGAAGATCTCGGATTTTGGGGTTCGAGGCCCGATCTTCGGTCCCCCCCTCGTCCGTCTGGTCGGTAAGGTCCTTCCTTTTGGGACTTGGCTTCCGACCACGTGACGGTCTTGTGAGTCCTAGGTGAGTCCCATCAACGGTGGCCCTGTCTTCTTCGAATCACCGGGACCCTTCGGCCGGTGAAGCATCGAAGAGCTGGGGTGAGTCGATCGCGGGACGAGTCCCAACGAGGAGGAGGGGGATCTTCCCGGACTCGTGTCGTTGAGAATCGGTGTATCAAAATAGGGAGACCTCTCAAAGACCCCCTGGAAGAAAACATGTTAGACCAAAATCCATTGGTTTGGAGTCGCCCTATTAAGATACACACCCATATGGCACCTGTTGAGAAGGAGAAAAAACCCACCAAGGCTATCAGCCAGTTTATCTTCTTCCAACCGTGCATATAAGTGGTAGCCTCGGCTGAATCTTGCCAGATCATGTAGGATGAATCCTGGGAACAGAAAGCCAACTGATCTGCGGTTCACTGCTGTAACTGCTCATATGACCTCCTAAAAAGGACGGACATGAAACTGGAACGCATCCGGAACATACTGTTGCAGGAAGAAGTTCTCGGTCATTTGGCATACAGAAATCCACAGTCTTAACAATGTTTGGTTGCTATGCAGGTGAAGGATCTATTTTTTCCACACGGGTACTTTGCAAACATAGCTGACTGGGCTATGGCTGCAAGATCGAGTACCATCCAATGTTCCTGTGGTCCCTGCTCACCGACCACAACCCTCCACCGTACGCCTGCTGGTAGTGGTCATGATGGTCCTTCCTGCCCCAAAGACCTGCGTACGCAAATGGGCTTGATCTCGGATGGCACGGCGCCAAGGGCAATGAGTCGCGTCCTTGTTCCTAGTAGTACGGCCAGGAGCCCCTAGTAGCGATGCCAGGAGCCCCGTTCGTAGCGTCCTTGCTCCTAGTAAGGTCCCACCAAAGGCAACGTGTTGACATGTCGAGATCCAACTCGGTATACCTAAGCCTCTAGGCATGATTCACATGTCGGGATCTAGACAGCCCGAAGAATCCGCGGCCTCCAGATCAGATCGCTACCGATGGGAAGTCCGCCTCCCTGATATACGTAAGGGGTGACAGGAATGGAAGCACTATTTTACATGGACAGAACAAGAAGTTTGTGAAGATGGAGCTATCTACTTGGAGACGCTAAGAAGCTCTCAGAAGCTCTCGATGAACCTTGGACCTTGGCTGTCCAGTGATCTCTGCTAACCACCAATCTGTTGTGTGTTCTGGTACATGTGCTCCTGAATACGGATTCTCCCTTAGCGCCAGATTCCAACCTCCCAAAATCTCGCAAGTCCAGTCCCGCTTCCTTCGCTTCAAACACCTTAACCGCACCTCGATGGCGACCCGGTTCACCATCTTCCCGTTGACCATTGTCTGGGTGGCCTCGCCCACCGTCTTCAGCGGAATGCCTCACCGGGTTCATCGACGCGCGAACTCTGACGCCGAGCGAAAGGCAAGGGACTGTAAGTCCACTGGGGTTGAGGAGCTTGGAATCCTTTGGGAAAAAATATGGTGCGTATCGATGCGTATCGTACACCATCCCAGAAGATGCTTCACTAAAGGTAGTGAGTTGCTCCCAAGATCTGCATGTCACGACCTGCTGTATGTGATTCGAAGACATCCGCATGGTTTGATCCAAAGATCAGGTAAATGCAGGCAGGTGCTATTCCGGAAGCTGGTTCCAGCCGGAATCCCCATCTATGTTAATGCGCTTCTTCTGTGCTTCCAATTCAGCACGGCATGCGTGAGAAGCGTGAGAATCCATGAATCAATCTACTCTCCGAACACTTCCAAATGGATTTGAAACCATCAACCACAAAATCTTGCAATCATCAACCATCAACCATAAACCATCAACTAGATTTGAAACCATCAACCAAAGATCAGTGTGGCCCAACAAAAATCTTACGGGGTCCTTGATCATACATCGCGGCCTGGTGCATTGACACACCAAAGGGCCAAACGGCCTAAAGCCGTCCTGCTCCCCCTCCGCTCCCCCTCGGGCCATCAGTGATGGCGAAGATGGACTCTGACAGCTCCTGACAGGCCCCGAGCTGAGTGAGGATGAAGGGTGGTGAGCGGGTCGTGTGATGACGCGAACGCATCATCCGTTCGCTTGGAAGTTGGAAGTCCTCTTCTCACAGCTGAAGAGAAGCACCGTGAAAGGTGAGGTGAGAAGAATTGCTGCTCTTCAACTGTTGAATTTCAGGTGAGATGAAATTCCTCGAACCCGAACTCGTAGCACTCAAACAAACCCAAAGATGTGACTTACTGCGACTACAACTACCACATCTTTTGGCTATATTCCTGCTGATCAAGTTGTTGGCAATTCATGGGACATGGGCTCTGTAGAAGATTGCTTGGTTGAACTATTCGGCTGATTCTGGATGTTGGTTACATCGACCACCCAGTCGCTTGGTGGAAGATTGGCATACATCGAAACCTCAAATCACCAACATGCCAAGATTCCAGCCATATGCTGTGGGTCTTTCAACCTGGGAACCCTGGTGAAAGGTTCAAAAAACCTGGGGCGATGGGGCTTCGTTCGCCTCGCGAGCGCCCCTCTCCAGACTCTGCGAAGAATTGCATTAAGAACTTGATCGGTGGGCTCCAACATTGAGAGGAACATTGAAGGTTGAACATAAGCCCTGAGGAGAGAGGCCCGACACACCAATCTTCCAACATCCATGCAGGTCTTGTCGTGGACGAAGAGAAAGCACCTGACCTAAGCGACCTGACCGAAATGCCCTTTGGTGTTGATGGCTATTCAAAAGAAGGTGTGAATTGCTGACAGTTGCTAGGTCCATGAATCTACCTCCAAACAGCTTGGGATCCACGGATCAACACATCCCCAACCACTGTTAATCAACCGACACCAAACCAAGCTCCCACCAAACCAAGCTCCTACCGATCAGCACGTCCCACCAAACCAAGCTCCTACCGACACGCTCCCCCCCAACGGCTCCTGTGTCCCCAGCAACGACCGTGTCACGGGCGAAGGGTCTGGGACGCCCTCAGAGCCACCGCGCACACCGCGCGCGAAACGGAGGTGCCTTTCCGAAGAGTTTTCGGATAGGTGGGGAGGACCATGCACTAGTGGGGAAACCCCCCTCTTGCTTCGTTCCTCTCTGTTGGAGCTAATCTTCGTGTACAAAGCCTTCGCAGTCTGCGGCCTTGCATCTGGAGTTCTCCTTCCTAACATAGTGAACGGGGGGGGATGCGGGACGGACGAGTCCTTCATTGCGTAGAGGTCCCAAGACACACGTGCCTGGTTCGCTCCGCGCGTTCCCGTGGATGATGCGGTTTGCATCACAGCCGTGAAATATGTGATTGATTTGGGGGCACTTCAAGATCCCGAGGAGCTTTCCTGTGCTGTTCCTGGTTTTTCACTGACTTGGTAAGCAATGCCCACAACCCCCAGCCCAATGAACACCTGAAAACCAGTAGAAACCCGGGAGGCTCCCCCCTCTATAGAAGGATGGAACGGTGGAGTGTGGCCCATGCATGCCAAACACCGAAACTCGACACGGTGAAAGGGGGAATGTGTACGGGGCGTACTTGAAGAAACATCGAGAAACAATACATCCGGATCAGCCAGAAAGAAATGGTTGTTCCAATTGAGACATATTGAGATCCTTTACATAGGAAATGGCTGGGACTGGGGAAACATCCATCTCTGGTTGTTTGGGGTTCCAGGCCTAATTACAGTTCTTGAACGCAGTGATCGAAAGAAAGACCTCGAAATTCATCCTGATAGGCCCATGGAATTCGAAGGAATTCCCGAACCGCCCCTTCGAACCACCCCTTCTCCACGCCCCACCGCCCCCCAGGGCGATCACCTGGAGCATCTGTCTCCATCCCCAAAAGAAGGGCGAGGACCGCGTGACGTCCTGCCCGCGTCGTCTCGTGTCGGTGCAACGACGGCGGCGACACGTGGAAAAACGTGGAACCGAGCGCGGCTGGGCAAGGGCGCAGGTGTCTTGCACCTTAATCCCACCTCGGCAAATCCCACCTCGCAAAAGCTCTTGTTAAAATGTGTCATTCCCGCAGAACGGGGAGCACCAGTGAACGGGAGGAAGAACGTCACTCGAGTCTATGTCAGCGAACGCCTGGACGTGACGAACACCCAGTTGCTATTTGGAAGGCACCCACTTGCCAGGACGTCACGCCCCTGACAGCCAAGGGGGGTGACTTGCCTGGTCATGAAGGCCATTGAAATGGATTGAAGCAATGAGAACGTGGAACAAGTCCCCTTCAAGGAACTTCTACGAGCACTAAACCAAGTGGGAAGCTTTGCCACCTTCTACTGTAGACCCTGCTGTTGAGCCTCGTTCCATTGGAACTCGGGGCTCGGCTTTAATCTTCGTCTAGATAAACATGTTCAGCAGTGCGGACCTCTCTCAAAGCCTCAACCAGATCTGGTACAGAAGGGGAAAAGTAGATACACTCCAACTCACTAACATGGAAGTGCAAAACGACCTGCTTGTAGAGAAAAGTAGTCTTCCAGGGGCCCATGCCATCCACTTCCATGTTAGTCAGTTGGGAGTGTAAGGGTCTCTACAGATCGATGGACGGTTCACCACGGTTCTTCAGGCCTCTTCTCCCAACCCAACTCTTGCGGGAAGCAGTTGGACGGTCGTCGCAAAAGAAAAAAGAACTCACTGCCGTCGGGCAGTAAAAACACCATCTCCTACAAGTCAAAGACCTCATTTTACTGGAGATGGTCATACAAAACCAATACTTAAGGAGGTAAAAGACCAGGTTTTACTGGGTCGTTGGACTTGTAGGGATCCGTGGAATCTGCGAATCTTCGAACAGGCGAATTGGCAGCGACGAAACGACCAATGTCACTCTGCAAATCTTCGAAGAGTCGCTGCAGTCTTTGGAACTGCAAAAAGATCTCCGTGAAAAAAGCTCCTCGATTCCCAAGTATTCTTCAGCTTCCAAGGCCAACACGGAGCCGTTCCAAGGCCAGATTCACGTCCTCCGAGGCGTAGATCAGACGCCAGGTGCCCTCTAGGAAGCCTCCAGGGGCGGAGACCGCTCGTACCGTCCTTCTTTCGGTTCTTTCGGCGGTCCATGTGACGGGCCAGGGCTGAACTCGGGCTGAACTCACTCGGTCGGCGCTCAATGGTTCGTGTTCATCCTTCCCTTTTTTCTGGCACCAACTCACCAACTCGCCTGGAAATGTTTGCCTCCTTCCCCGGAAGAAGAAAAGACGAAAGAAGGATGCCCAGGATTCGAATCTCGAACAACGGTTGTTTTACTAAGCTTTACACTCCAAGGTGGTATTTGGACTCCAGATTCTCGCGTAGCCCGCCCGGAGTCGGCCTTGTTGCTTCGCCGGCTCCAGCGTTGGGTTCAAGGCCTCCATGGCTTTCACCAACTGCAGTGCTCCTGGATGAAAGGCGAGAAACAAAAAACAAGGGTTTTTCAAGGTGCATAGATGGTGGGATCCATTAAAAGGTTGTTTGTTGCCTCAAACGTGTTGAAAACCAGGTCCAAGAATGATCCAATACGGAATAGTTACTGAATAGTTTGAATAATTACAAGTTCCATCCGGAGAAGTCATCAACAGTTGGATTTCTTCCATCTGGCAGCATTTCATCTGTCCCTTGGTATCTCTGCGTCTGCTCATTCCATGCGTTCCATTCGCCCCGCTCAGTCGCTCGGATGCCACTTGGACGACCAGCTGCAGCTCGGTTCACCAGTTCGGGCCCGAAGGCTTCTTCGCACCCGTTCAGCTCGAACCGCTCGAAGCCCCACCCTGGGAGTCAAAGACTATAAAAAGAATGGTCTTTAGGGGAACTGAAAGGGAACTTCCTTTACTCCAGCCGGTCAAAATATAGTCTTTGGACTTCTAGGGCCCAGAGACTTCGAGTTCAGCCCAAGGCCGTGGCACGGCCGTTTTCTCCCGGACCGTGTCCGACCTACCGGACAGCCACGAGGCCGGCACACGGAGGCCAGTCCTTCCTTCGCCACGTCACTCCCACACTGGCCGCGGCCTAGAATCTTGAAAAAAGCGTCAGGGCACAAGGGCGGAGGCCGGCGGGTTGCTGCTGGTTCGACACTCGATGTGTTGCTGTTCCGTGAGATTCCGTGAGAATGGCCCTAAAAGAGTGCTTTCCTCAGTCTTCAGCAGGGTATCCCATGATGTACTGCCTGCAAGCGAACTCTGATCGGTCGATTCCAGTTTCACCTCAGCCTCTACTGCAAGGAGCCATCCAGGTGCCCCTGGTCTTTGATCACAAGTACATTCCGACTCACTATGTAAGTGACGGAGAGCTGGTTTGCAACGGACAAGTGAAGCGGACGTAGTTGGTAAAGTGATAATAAGTGTCCCTAACTGAAGGAAATCGTCTTCCCATCACTTATGTTCCACTTCCATGCTAGTGGCAGTCGATTGGTCGAGATGTTCACCCTCCGTTGAACTCTGCACAACCAGCGCGTTTTGCAGGTGATCATGCAGGGCACCTACTCAAGCTTATCACAAACCATACCGGGTGCCTCAATAGTTTCATTGAATAGATCTGTATACCTTCTGGGTTCCCGTTGGATTTAGGAATCGCTTCCCCGAAACACCCCCACTTGCCAAGTCCCCAGAGGTTCCATCCCAATTGGTCGCTTTCCAAGTTTTGACTGCTGTTGACTTCCTTTGACTCGTCTTTTTCGAAGTGGTGACCGAAAAAAGGGCGCCCCAGGGGTAGGCAGGACTCCTCTTTGTTCCTACTTCCTTTCACGTTGTTCCAGGAGTCGATCCAGCTGTGGGTGTTTCTCCTGCTTTTTCGTCCACTCTTTACACCCAGAAGCAGGTGGCAGCGGCAGCCGAGAGGAGTCGGAGCCTGGACTGGCCGGAGAGGAGTCGGGATCCAGCGGGGTCGGTCTGCCGCATGGTGGATCGAGTAGATGAAACAAGTGTCCAAAAGTATATCCCAAGAATGCGCATCCAACCTCTGTTCATAGAACATCTACTGAGTCTACTGCTCATATCCACTCTGCAGTCTGGTATATCCCACATCTGCTAATATAGATCCACCTGACTGCGCTAGAAGTGTCCATGGCGCTCGTTTCTGAACCAAAGCCCAAAAGGGTGGATGGCATGAGCCACCTCCAAAGGCTACCTTCCCTGAGCCTTACCCTCGAACAAACATGGAACTGGATCACGTCACACACACCAATCCAAGCTTTCCGGCAGAAAAAAAAGAACCAAAAAGCGGTTTCTCATTCTGATGACCCCTTTTCTGGAGTCTTACAGTACTGCTTGGAAGCAAGGCACCCCGATCCTTTCCCGCCTCACTTCCTTTCGTGCCGCCGCAGTGCCCGCTGCCGCGGCGGCGGCTTGCACCTTGGGAAACCACAGCAGTTCACTCACGCTCTGCGCTCGAAGGCAGCGGAAGTCACGCGAATAAATGTTCGCAGATTTGGAAGTGTTGCTTGAAGTCCTTCTCAGGAATCCCTCGAAAATCACCGGTTTCACCGATTTGACCCTTTTTCTTGGGTCTGCGGGGCCATCTGCAGTGGGTCCCGCACCGCGCCGTTCCCGCGCCGTTCTTTTTTTCAGACCCGCAGAAAAGCAAAGATCGAAGTCCAAGACTTCTTAACTTACAAGGAGAATAGGGCAAGTTCAAACCTCGTTTTCTCACCCTGCCTGTGTTTTTGGTTGAAAGTTGAGATGACTCAAAACTCGAAGATCCTAGTAATAGTAAAATAGGGAGACCGACACCGGTCGGCGTTCGAGACCCTTTGCCCGGTTCGATTCGGACCATCGGGCCAGTCTACGTCTGCCCTGCCTGGAAGGGGGTGGAGGTCTCCCCATGTTCAGAATGATCTGACTTGAAGATCCGAAATGAATCAGACTAAGGGAACTTCCTTTGAATTTCGGGGGCCCAAAGGCCGGACCGATTCGAAGGAGTTCTGAGCCGAAGAAGAAGGTTTCTGCTTCTTGATCTTCTGGTGGAAGTATATGGCCAAGTATGAAGCCAACTCCGGACTCCGCAGGCCGAGAATTGGATGAACGGGAAGTTGACCTGGAACCCTCCAAGATCCAGTGCCCAGTCCTAGTCTTTAAGATCAACACTCGGACGATGTGATTCGCTTCCGGTGGGAGGAACGGAGATTCACATGGTGTTCCGCATTCCTGCAGAGTCTTGGATTGGATGGTTCGATCTGTCTTGGGATGTGTCATGTGTATATATATATATATGTATGACTATATAGATGCAATATTTACTAGTATCTACACAGTCCACACCCCTATTCTCTACAATACCATGACATGCTCGACCCAATTATATAGCTGGAGCCATTTCGCTCGCCCGCAGCAAAATACTTACCCAAAAAACCCACCGGAGGGGAGCTCTATAACCTAGGACCTAAGAGCAAAAGGAACCTAATAGCAATGGCCTCCCCCGCGATGGCCTCCCACCCAGGAGCGATGGCCTCTAACCTACTTCCAATGGCCTCCAACCTAAGAGCAACAGGAACCTAATACAAATATGTGGTTGCTCGCATTGCATCAGGGTGGATTTTGACCACACCCAAACATCCTCCAACACCACACCGAAACATACCGCCCTCACAGCGGGCACGACTGGCTCAGCGCCCCTCCTTTTCGGTCGTTCCTCCTCCCCAGTCGGCCGTCGACACCTGAATGACCGAAGAAGGTGGACCCAAGACCGTCGCTCGGACTCGGAGAGGGGGGGTGAGTGACCTAGGTTTGTGGGTTTAGGGTTTAGGATGGTTTAGGGTTGTTGATGAAGATCAAACCCTCCTGAGGTGATGTAGAACCACGATTGGCAGGGGGTGAATGGTAGATCGAAACATCAGCAGAACGATTCGTGACAGCATGTTTCTTCGTCTGTTCCTCTGAAAACAAGGGTTTTTCGCCTTCAGGGTCCACGACACAACAGGAAAGGGTCTGGTTCTGTGGTTGAAACATCAAGAAACAGGTACAAACGAGATCCTGCAAGTCCAAGACCATCTTTAAAATGGTAGTGCAAAACCCTCAGCAAAACAAGGGTTCTTCGGGATTCGGGCCACATGGCTATAATGGTGGGCCACGACTCCTGATGCTCCTTGCTAGCAGTGAGTCACCGGGGCGTCCATCAGAGTCCGGACTGCACCGCTCGAGGCCCCCACAGTCTGGACAGTTCCAATGAGTGAAAACGTCTCCTGGGATTCCTGGAACTCCATGGTTTTGATGGTCTGAACTCCAAACAACCATTGTTTTACTCAGGTGGGTCAACCATGTTTAAATGGTCTTGGGCATGGCTAAGGCATGGCTGTGGGTCCAAAACCGGAGCCCCAAACCATGGTGGGGTGTAGTCTAGGGCCTAAACTGGGCCTAAACTCTGTTCAATTCTGTTCATGTTCAGTGGGAAAAAACAAAAGGTTTTGATCCACGGCCAGATGTTTTTGACCCCTCCATACCTCGAACTTCTGCCCGTCTTGACCCCTGATTTCAGAGGAGCTTTGGCCGTCTTTAGGAGTGCCTTTTCCAAAAAAAGAATGGCTCATTGAGCTTCGAGGTACTCAGACGCTCCCTCAAAAAACAAGGTCCTCTCCGTCCTTCCAACCCCCCACCGGAAACCGAAGTTCCGCCGATCGGAAAGGCTTCACCCGCGAAGGGCGCCGGTGAAGACCAAAAGCGACGCGTTCGAACGAGGGACGCGCCACACCGACGGTGACGGCCTAGCCAAAGAGGTCGAATTCCATGTCCTCCTCTTCCTCCTCTTCTTCGACCTGTCGTGCGATGCGTGGAGCAGCTGCGACGACTCTCAACACCAGCAACACCGGTACCCCGAGAGTTCGCTAGATGAAGAGAACAGACAGGAAATCTGCAGACGACTCTCGAGTAATAAAACCAGGGTGGTAGAAGAGGTGTTACAATCCAAAAGCTTTTAGAGGGTTATTTCAATTTTTACGGGATATATATATATATATTCACTCCTAGGTGCTCACATTGGCAATTCCAAACCCTGCCCATCTGGCTGTTCAAAACGGAACACGAAAACGTGCCGGGTGTGGAGACAAGCGTCAAACAAGAGTACACTCAAGTTGACCATCCATGTCTGTGAATCTGTTTTTCCCTCCCTGTCTCCCACGCTCTCCTCACCTTCTTCTTCTCCTCCTCAGCAGCGCCACCGCCGCCGCCGCCGCCACCGCCACCGCCGCCCGCGGCAGCGCCACCGCCACCGCCCCCGCCGCCGCCGCCAGCACCGCTGCCGAGCCTGGGCTTAAAGAAGCTGGTGGTCATGCGGCATGAGAACCTTCAGGTTGAAGAGAAAGGCACAGGTCTCCCTGTCTTTAACCTGCAGACAGGAAGATCTGTGCACCAAATCCTATGGGTATAAGTCTTAAGTCTTCTCCGCAAGAGAACGACGTGGAATGTCCTTCATCCACTCATCTTTCTAAGTGGCGAAGTGTCCAAAATCTAACCCCCCACAGTTCAACTGGTGGACACAGTTCAACCACTGCTACTATCAACCGCTTGGATGACTTCCTTCTTGGTCACCCGACCTGACCGCGTTCCTACCGTTCCCACCTGCTTCCTTGACCCAGCCAGTCCCTTCTCGTCCTGCTCATCCACATCCAAAGCCGACCAGTTGGGAGTGAAAACGAACTGCTGGAACCTAAACTACTATATAGCCATGGCCTCCCCCCCTACTAGCCATGGCCTCCCCCCTACCCAAGAGCGATGGCCTCCAACCTAAGAGCGATGGCCTCCAAAGGCTGGGTGCTTTGAGGAAGAGTCCAAGACTTTCTGCCCATCGAAACTCTTGGAGGACACCCAGGGTGAAGAGCCTTGAAGGTCCTTGAGTCGCTTCACGAGTTTCCGACGCTTCGAGCATCCTCTACACTCTACACTCGCGAACATAGCGAACATCGAGGTGGACCCTGGGTTCCTGGAAGAACAGGTCGGTGTTCCACTTCCATGTGATGTCTTCGTCGGCAAATTCGTGCAGGTTTGGCCTCAACTGGGCCTCCACGCTTGATGAGAGTCTCCATGCCCACGTTCTTGATCATCTTCGCCTCATCTTTGAATTTGACCTATGACCCTAGCTGCTCTGCATGTAGCAACCCTGCAGAGTTCCGAACCCAGGGAGGCCCTGGGTTCCGCTTTGAAGCTGGAATCACCATTTAGAACATCCCCCCCAAAAAAAACACGAAGCCTAGCTGACCCACTCTAGGAATTCTGTGAACTCTCTCCAGCTTCCCATCCTTGCCTGCACATACTTCCTCGTTCTGTCCCAAACACACCTGCGCTCCCCAAAAAAGACCATCCCACGCACTCTGCCTCCGATGTGAACGACACGACCGGCCGCTCTCCGTGAACGACCACCCGCGAGCCGCGAAAGTCGAGGTCCGGACCATCAGCAAGGGCCAGTAGGCCTCCACTGAGCAGCCGGCAGCCTGGAAGATGAGCTTGAAGCTGAGTGCGGAGATTCGGATCTATGCGCAACTGACTGTACATCCTTGACACAACACCCGGGACCTGTTCGGGTGGGTCACACGGGCAGTCAAGGTGCTTCAAGCGCTGCGGTGCCGACCCCATGTCGCCCGACAGAATTCGCTTCAGGAATGGGAAAACATATGAAACATAAATTGTCTCTACTAGCTTCTTGTTCCTAGTAGTAAGGCCCTTGTTACTACTATACTAGCTTCTTGTTCCTAGTAGTAAGGCCCTTGTTACTAGTAGCGATGCCAGGAGCCCCTAGTCGCGTCCTTTGCTTCCCAGAAAATCCAGAAAAAGGAATATTCACCCATAGTGCCAGGATGGGTGGCCTCAGAGCTGTGTGCAGGAAAACCAAGGAAACCCATCAAAAGCAACCTAAGAGGCCTAGCATGGTCTAGCCTGGTCAAGGGGGTCCAACAGCAACAGGTTGTCAAAGAAACTTGAGCCACCGACACTTGGCGGATCATTTGCGGTGAATTGTGTCGTTTCGGGGAGGTCTCAATTCGCTTCAGGGTGGAGGATTTTGGAAAAGCCTAACTTGCTTCAGAAGACCAACGGGACAAACGGGACGGGACAAACGGGACTTGCCCTTTTCTTGCGCCCAGCAGTCGAGATCAGCGGATCCTCGCCCACCCTGGTTCCGAGAGCCTCACATGGAACCTGAGAACCACGGAGCCTGTGCAGAAGGTGAAAGCTAGCTAGTCTTCCAGTCTGGTCCATCCCCATCAGCTTCCATGTGAATCTTCCCACGTGTTGGTTTTTTTCGAGGTTTCGCCACTTGGCCTTCACTGTCATGGGCTCAAAAGAGCTACTTTGGGAGCCAGGTTGCTCCTCCCAAGACACCATACCCATCGAAAGACATCAAAACACCCGACTTCCGACCCACACCAAGCCTCCCAGTAACCCGTGGCCGAAGTCCTTTGGAACCCTTCGCAAGTAGCACCCCCGCACCGGAAACCGCTGCCACGAAAACACCCCCGCTCCGACACCCGTGTCGCCCGGCACCCGTGTCGCCGGGTGGTCACCTTGATGAGGTTGGTCATGGCTTGGGGCGTAATCTCAGCGCCATCATCGTGGAGCACCAGGGCGGCATAGGTGCAGAGCAGTTCATCCTGCCACCCGCTTTTAGAAGGAGGCTTTCGCAACGGGTGCGGGTGCGGGCAGAAGGAAGCGGAAGGAAAGCGGTTACCTCCCAACAGGTCATTGTCTGCGACCTGCTTAGCACTAAGAGATCGGACGAATGCTGGACAGCAGCCTCTACGCCCCCGCTGGAGCACCTATCCTTTGGGCCGGTCCCTGGTTGGGGGGAAGAACACCAGTCCGGTCTGGTTCCACCAGGCTCCGCTCCGGAGACCTTGGGGGGCGGGAGTGGAGCACCCCTTCAGTGTCCTGCCCGCCCGCCTTCTGTTCCGGAGAGAGCTCCTCTGCTGGCATGGACGCCATGGTCCTTCGCAGCCAGGAAGATGGCAGATGGCGCAGGAGGAGTCTGCTTTTCAGAGTTGGACTGAAAGAACCTCCTTAGGGACACACCTGAGACTGACTATCATTGACAGTCCATTCTCTGTTCCTGTGCTTGCTGATTTCTGGCATGAGATATAATATAGATGTCAGGCTGTCAGGAAGTCCAATCTGACTGCCATTCATTCTTTATAGTCGCTGGGCATGGTGTAGAAGAAACGCAAGAACACCTCAGAGTCTATATATCTTCTCAACGATCTTTGGGTGTTGCCGGGTCCTGCTGGGATGGTGCGCGCCACGAGCCTGCGCTTCTGGGAAAACGACCGGTTGGGACACCCGCTGCCGGGCAAGTCCAGAGCCAAATGCCACGAGACCATGCAGTATGGGAAGTGCAACGCGCAGGTTTCAGGGTCGGTGCAGCACAACGAGAAAGTGATGCCGGGTCGAAAGTGAGATCTTGCTGATGATCCCACCAACAACCACTGCAACTTCGACATACTTGGAGCAAGTATGTCGAAATGACTCCGAAATGGTCAAGAAATTAAATCAAAATGATCAGACTTTCCCACAAAATTCTCATGCACCAGATGGCTGAGTCCCCAAGTCCGGCAGCTCCGCATCGGCCCAGAGTTTTCTGGGTGCCGGCACATCCTGTACTGGCCTCACAGGAGGTGTGGACAGGGGTTTCCCCGTGGGGGAAACGCCAACAGTGACACGACATCCGGGAAACACCGAAGGAAAAGGACAAACCACCTGCTTTTTGGGAAGCCAAGACAGCCATGAGACGAGCAGCCAGTGATGTGGGATGATGGCTGGGGGGTTCTCTTCGTGCCATCAACTCGATTTGGAAGATCCAGGTTTTTCAGATTTAAGAAAGAACACCTGGCTGGTTCTTCCCAGTGACCGTACTTGATCTCCTAGTTGCTTCGGTCACGCTTACTTAGGCCTTGTCGGCTTAGCGACCGATGCCACACCCGCCCGGGCCGGTCACCGGCGGGTGGGTGAACTACCCCCTCCCGAAAAGAAGGGTTGATGATGCCAGCATGGACCTCAAACAGTTTCAGCATGTGTTTCTTGGCGTCAACGTCTTGAATTCCAACTGTTTGGGGTCGTGGTTTGGCAGACCTCTCGTGGTTAAGATAACCTAGTCGTGTTTAAGGTAACCAGGTCCTGGTTAAATGCCAGTTTCTTTGGGGGGAGAAAAGTTAAAAGAAAGAACCGGGCCGAATCTCCTCTCGCACGGACCCGTAAAGGATCATTGAATCACCTAGGAGGTGACTCCCTCATGTCACGTGACGCGTTTCTTCGCCGGGAGATTTAGACCGAACATCACCGTTGCACGAACCCCCCGTTGCACCATCCACACAGTTAATGAGACTACAAACTTTCAACACGAACTGGATGAAGAGTGACAAGCGGGCCATGAAATGGGTAACTTGAAAAACCGCCTCTTGAATGTGAGTGGAAAAAACCAATGCCCAACTAAGGCTAAAGCTTGACCTTTGAGTGGAAAGGTGACCCTCCAACCAGAAGTGGAGCGCTGCTTGGAGAAGTTCCCATACCAAAGGCACACCTTGAAAGGTCGAAAGATGGTGAGAACCGAACTTAGGCCCCCAGTCGTTCTGAGTCGTTCTGGGTGTCATCGAGTTTCTGGATCATTCTGGCTGTGAAACTGGATGCATCGAGATTAAATCACCACATCTCGAAACCAGTTAAAACTGCTTGGCTTGCAAGGAGTCATGAATTGGTCCTCACGTGAGAAAAAGTCCTTGCTCGTTCCAGGTGTCATTTCATCTGCTTGGCTTGCATCCGAACCATCTGTCTTCAAGTCACCCTCCCCATGTCCAGCCGTGCCCCCCCGACGTGGCGCGCAACGGTGTCGCTGTCCTGCGGCTCGTTGGTCGCGCGTGTTCGATGCCGTCGAAAACGTGTGGGGCTCAGACACGAGACCCTAAGGATTCATCCAGGTCACCATGGATTTACGGGCCCATCCAGGAATAAACAATCTGGTTTACTCTGGATTTGACATTACAAAACCAGGATTCCAAAGCATGTTGGTCATGGTCGCAGGCGTCGTCGGCGACCGGGCATCAGATCCCAGGGAAATAGGCAGATGATCCTTCCGGATTAAATCCCCCACTGAACCATTCATTCAAGGCAACTCAAGTCGAAGCTTAAAAAACAAAAAAAACACAGAAATCACTTTTGTCTTTTTGGTCTGGACGGTGTTCTTGGTCCCTTGCATTTGGGCGAAAAAGGTGCCCTAAAATTGCTTGCTTTACAGGACCTGTGGAGGAATGCACACTCCAAGATGCTATATCTCCTGCTTTGAAGACCCTAAAGAGGTCTTGCTTGAGAGGCACAAACCATCACCCCACAGGTCCTCCCGCGCAGGCGCAGCCGTTGCACTGCGCGCTGCGACCGTTCCGTTGTTGGAACGGTAAGGAAACCACCCCTAGAAGAGAACGCCTGCTGCGACTTGCAGTTGCCTCAAGGCTATGATAAGCGCGGAGGATGAACTGGACATGAACTAGGATTCATATCATATTTAGTTCACCGGGAACTGCAAGAAGACTTGGGCAGTCGGACTTGGCGAAACAACCACGCCAAGTCCTTCGCATGCAGATTGCGATGCACAGCCGACCTTTACGACTGACCTGTACAAAAAGCAAGCTTCCGGACCCTTGGACTGGAAACAAATACAAGAAAAACAAAACCGGCCACTCATGGCACGTCCACTTTCAACACCAAGCGATTCAACACAGCGCCATTCTGATATTGAACATCGGGTGATCTGTGAACTAAGCCTCTGCCTCCGGGGAAGTTCTTTCCCTTCATGAAAAGCAGGTCACCCACATTCACCTGGCGAATTTTGGACTTGTCCTTGATGATACAGTCATTGTTGCCTCAGCTAGCTTGCCAAATGTTCGGCAGATTTAGCAGCCCAGACACTCCCATGGGACTTGGAAACCATGCCACACTCCATACGACCCCTTTTCAACCGCCCCGGTGGAGTCATCGAGTCGATGAGTCAACGAGAACACAGCGATTTCCACAGGCGTGTTTCACCGGTTTCAAACATCAAAGGTGCCGCAATGCTCCAATTCCCAAAAGTCCACAATGTCCTGAAGGCAAATCGAGGAAAAAAAAAGTGGTTTTCTCTGAAATTTGTCGCAATGGAGGCGTCATTTTCTCTGCAAGAAGGATGGAGTTCGGGAGTTTCAATCTTCTGAAAGATACACGTCTTCTGTTTTTTTCGTGCCAAGCAGCATCCGTCGCATATTCAGTGCCGGCCAAATTATAAGTCACGATCCCCCTTCCGCAGTAGCTATCCATGTGCCAGCGAGGGCATGAATCCTCTCCCATGAGCTCCAATTTCCTTCAACATTGGAAATCAGGACACAAAACGGGGTGGGGCGTGGCGCAGGTCGCATGTCGCAATGACGGGGTGACCGAGTGGAGCGATAAAAGAACATCGGACGACTCGACATCGCCAAGTGTCACAATAAAGCTCTTGCTCCAAGGGCACAAGGAGGCCACAGTGCTGCCAAATTGGCAAATATCATCCTTTATGATGGACAAGAGGTCCTAGCCCGAAAAAGACAAGAAAGAAAGCCTTCCACTGTTCATGTCTGGTTGAATAATACTGACTTTCAAAAGAGCCTCTGGCATCAGCCACTGTCCTGGGGCAACTTGGCACGGCCAAGAAGGTCATCGGCCGCTTGCCTAGGCAACTCTGAGAAGCGAACAAGTCGTAGGGTCAATGGTCACTGATGTCCCGCGAAGCCAACCGATGTGGATGCGGGTCAACACATATCAACAACAGTCAACACCTCACAAATCAGTGTATCTTCACCCTTGTCAGCCTTGCCACGCCCCAAAATGAGCCACCGAGTTCTCTGGGACCCACAGGGTCCCACACATGCCCCATGCCACCGTGATCCACCCTGTCTCCCCCCTGCAAATCCGAGTAGCTCGAAATCCCAGCCCGAGCCACCCTCGACCTTCGAAACGGTCGTTTCCAGCGCCCCAAAGTCCCCCTCTGCCCGGAAGTCGCCCTGGACTTGGTCAATCTCCACTTGATAGTTGGGCCAAGAAGGCCGGCGTGGCAGGTGCAAGCCCGGAAAGGCTGCTGCCTCGGGGCGCAGCCAATCGCTCAACGAGCTCGCACGGAAGAGCGAGCTCCCGGCCTCCCACGGTGAGGCATTGGCGTGGACCGTGGGCACGGTATGGGCGTTGAGCGTTGGCCCGTAGCGCGGCTTGGCATATGAAGTGTGCTTTGCATACTGCGCACAGCCATGGCAGTGATGAGGGCGCAAGTGACACGTCCACGATGCCGTGGCATCGACCATGCGCGTCTGGAGGCAATTGAGGCTGCAGATGAGGAACTGAAGAATACCCCTAGCAACTCTGGAATAGTGCAGACGTTCAAAATAGTCACATCAAAACTTTGAGTCAAGTTCTTCAGCTGCCCCAAATAGATGGACTTCGCGATCTCGAAGACATTTGAAGATTTTTCGGTCAAACCCCCTCAGGGACCTGAAGCACCCAGAGGGTCGACTGAATGGGTCTACCACGCAGGTCAGGGGTCTTCGAAGTCTTCGACCCCAAATGGCCCAAATGCCATCGCTACGAACGGAGCAAGAAGCTACGTTCGGGGCTCCTGGCATCGCTACTAGGAACCCGGGCATCCTGGCCTTACTACTATAGGAGCTAAGAAGCTACTAGTGGAGAATGATTCTCCGAGCATTCGACTCGACTCTCCAAACTCCTCGCTGAAGTGACGCCACTCGGAGCACCTGCACGCGGCCGGGAAGCCCGGAAAACAGGTTGGACGACCCGGAAGGTGGTCTGCTTGGTGGGTCGAAAAAGTTGGGAGACATAGAAGAGTTATATATGATATGCCTTGAAGCTATGCAGCAGCTGGTAGGAATGGACATAAATCCATATAAATCCGATCATTTCACACATCTTGGGCTGTTTGGATTGGGGAATCCGTGTTTCCGTGGAATCTTCTGGGCTCCACGGGGCCAGGGCAACACGGCACACGACACCATCCTTTGCTGGGCTTTTGGATTGGAGCGGGCCTTGTATGAAGAACCCGCAACCTGCATCCAGCAAGATTTGTGCAAGGGAGTTTAAGCTGCAGATCAACAAAAAACATCCCGGTGGCAAAAACCTGCACGACAAAGGAAGGTAAAACAATCCAACGGCACAGTCACCTCAAAACCAACCCTTACCGCCCCAAGCCACCTCGACCCCGACAAGCTTTGGAAAGGAGGGAGGGAACGTCACCTGCGGAGGGGCCAGGCTCCTCCGGAGGGGCCAGGTGGAATAGAACCGCAACACCTTCTTTCGTCGTTTAGTGAAAAGTCCGATGGAAGGTTCCGGGCCAGGATGGTGTAACTACACTCACCCTGAAAGCATCCGTGTTTGACTTAAAACCAACATGGCCCCGTTTCTTCGGATGACCATGACATGACCATCATTTCACCAGCAAACAGGTGGGTCTTCACTCCACAGTCGTCCCGTGCCACGTGCTCTTCCCAGCCTGTGAAGGCGGACTGGTACCTCGGCTTTCACACCGGCAGCCGCGAACCGCGCCAAGGAGGGTGAGAAAACTGACTGAGCCGCACAGCAAGTGGAAGGTCGCTGGAGGCACCACTTGGCAATCGAAAATCACTCAAGACCTTCAATTGGAACAACACTTGAAGAGCCTCGAGCTCCAAAAAGCAGCTCAGAGTGGCCTCCGTGGCCTCAAATCAAGTCCATCCCTCCAAAAAACATGTCTTCCTGCAACGTCTCCCAGGTCGGACCGGTTCTGGAGTCGTGAAGTGACTCTCTAAACCCTAAACCCCGCCGCCAGGCCGGGCATGGTGGGTGGTCCTCCGCCCCGAAACAGTTCTTCCGTTCGATGGCGATCCTTTGCTTCGACAGAGTCGACCCGGAACGACGGGAGGTTCATCCCGGCACGGACACCCTCGAGTTCCCCGACCATTGGTTCACGGCCACCACACAGCAAAAGGCCAAGATCTGGTCCAGCGGGAACGGCTGGTGGAGGCGGAGGTTTGGCAAAGGGGCCCCAGGCGATCAACCCCAGTGAGGAATATACTCACGTGAGAGAGCCAAAGCAAGGTTGAAGGGTTTGGATGGGTTTGGGGGTATTCAACTGTGGACACCTAGTGACAAGTGCGGACTCTAGTGATGGCCTCCAACCTAATAGCGATGGCCTCCAACCTAGTAGCTTCTTGTTCCTAGTAGCAACAAAACGAGTCCACAACCACTCCGGGTGAACTGTCTACTCTCCAAGGACCTGAGAGGGTAGCTCCACGTGGGGAGCTCCAACGCCCGGACCGTGAGACGTGCAGTGGGTGACCAAGCGTCACCCCCAAGATTGCTCCGCCCAGCTCTTATGGGTCTCTTCTTGCGAACGCGACTTGCGACTTCACGGGTTTGCGAGGAGACCCCGGATCTTCCTGAACCCTGTGACCCTCTAATCAACTCTCATCTTCACTCACCTGCATAGTTCCTTTTCTAAACATGGATGGCCTGCCAGAAGTGGTTTGGAAGATGATCTTCCAAACAAGGGCAGAGTCACTTCCACCAACACTCGACTCTGAGTCGGTCACCTTCAGAGATGACTTGTTGGAGGCTGGTACCAGTTTCTATGTGGGCTTTTGCGACAAGTCGATTCTCATCCAACGAAAGCCCACGGAACATCGGACGGTGCCTTCCGCAAAGCTCCCATGGCCGCGAGGAGCTTAGGTCCCGCCGGGTTTCTTCGCCCGGTCTTGCTTCGACTGGCGCCACCCGTCGTCCAAACGTGTTTTGATGTCCAAATGGACATATAACCGTCCATCAGTGTGCGGGAGGTCCAAAACATGAACGTCGACTCATCGACGGAACGAGGGTAAAATAGGGTAAAGGTCTGATAGATCTGCCTGTCGTCTTCAGCAAGGAAAGCTCTACGTTCGCGTGTAAAAGAGGGATGTTGCATTAACCTTGGGATGCGTGTACCTCTGCCCTTCAGTTGTTTCTGGTGGGGATGCAGTTGTCAGATTGCCTTGAACCAAGAAAATGCCCAGGTTCCCGGCATAAACTTGCTCTATTGGCAGGCAAAGTGCATCAGGTGAAACTTCAGAAAAGCACTAGCACTGATCCCCCTCCCACAGAAGTACAACATAAGGTTCTTGGGGAGTCCCCGACATCGAGATGAAATTCACAGCTTTTTCGGCGAAGACCTTCGATGGTCTTCCACAGCTCCCAAGCAAGCACGTTAACATCACTTGTCACTCGATGTTTCTTCACCAATCAAGGCAAGTCTTCCATCACAAAGGCACTTGGAACTACAGTAGCCCCTGATCTTATGGTCGTTGATGATTGTTGATACTTGCCATCCAATGGATCAAAGCAAACCACCCTCTAACGGATCAGCACGTGTCCAACAACTCCCAGGCGCTAGCAGACCAGATTCCTACGTCCGGCTGCGTTCTCGAACACTTTTGCCAAGCTCGACCTTGCTCTGTGAGTTCGTCCTTCAAATGCGCTAAGTGTGGGGTCGAACCAACCCCAGCTCCGACGGAGTAGAAGGTTCCTCCGTCCACAGATGCTCTGAACGTCCCACCCGAGATGCTCTGAACGTGTACAGCCCAGCAGACGTCCGAAGACCAAGGCTTTGAGGTCGGAGCTTGCGTGGCTCAACCAGCTTGGAAGCCCATCATGGAAACCCTTGAAAAAGGACCCTTGAAAATTGGTTTGGAAACGCCCAGCCCTTGGGGAACAAAAGCCGGGCAAACATCCCTGGCCGTCGATGAAGATTTGGGGCCGAGCGGCTCAGACAGCGCAGATGCTAGGTCCAAGCAGCTCTCCCTTCCTCGCAAGAGTCGTCCAATTCTGACCGATCCTGACAAAAGAAATGAAATGATCCAGCAGTTCCATGTCGAAATGGTTTTTAGTCCCATCCAGTGGCCGTGGATGTAGCGGGGGCAGCCCCATCTTCCAAGTTCGGCAGCCTGACATGGAACTGCTGGATGATCCAAGTTCTTTCGAAACCTTGTGGACTCAGAACTCCGAAGGAAAGCAGATTCCTTCGTTTTCGTCTACTCTCGTTCTTTTTACAACCACCAAAGAAAATCGGTGTGTGCCTGCGAATCTCCATTTGCCATGTTCACGACTTGGTGTGGCCAGAGCAGCTGAATCTCCAACCTCCGAGGTCTAAGACTTGGGACCTTGTTTGGACCTTCAACAAAATACTTAGCCAAAGCGGCGCAGCAGAACCAAGACCACCTTCGGTCTCCAAGACCACCCGGAGAACCCCATGGGTGGCACCGGAAGACGCAGCAGGGCGGTGGGTCAATGGCACCGGAAGACGCTGGGTTTTGGTCCCGAGAGGAAGAACGAGCTATAGACAGACTTTTGGGGTGAGTCGGGCCAGCTCCAGGTGCCATGACCCAATCACCTCATGGCATAAAGCCTTCAAGTTGGTCCACTTGGACCTATGTTAACCCTCCCCTTGCCCTCAAATGCTTGCTTCAGAAGCTTCCTACTGTGATGAAGAACAGATCCACCACCATCTCACTCCAGCTTCCTCGCTTCAGCCTCAACGACCTTCTCAGTACGATTCGACTGGGATCCTACAGTCGCACCCAACCACACCACGTGTCACTCTCACGTGTGCCTCGCCGGTTCGGCAGACGGCCCGCGGCCGCGGTTGCGGTTGCGGCACCGGCCCCAGTTGTGACGTGATCCGCCCCGGCGGCATTCGTCCGTTGGCTGGACTCCGATCGATCGGTTCAGGACGACGCAGGACGAAAAGCACACCAAACACACAGCGTCTGCCGGTTCTGAAGAAAGTTGAAACCTGTCAGGGACGACTTCCCCGTGCCTTCTCCAGAAGACGGGGTCCCCGTTGAGGTGCGGAGCCCACTGAAAAACGGGTTTGACCAACAGAGTAGGGGTGTCTTGGCACTTCCTCTACCAGTAGCGTCGGCCTATTTGGGGCTCCTGGCAGGGGCATCTAGCGAAAGCACTGACCCACTGTGGCACTTGGAGCTCTGATCCACTCGTCATCAACTGTGGCCAGGTCTTAACTGATTCGGCTGGAGAAAGCCTCGATGGCAGCCACCTTTGAGAGTTCTGCAAAGGCTAGAAGTCGCAAATCAAAGGAGAGTGAGTACCTAGCCTTCATGAAATCACGACCGTGAACCTTGCGAGAAGGAGAAAACCCAAATCCAGAAGTCTTCACCAAAATCAACGGCTTCTCTTTTTAACAACAGATTGGGAAGTCTGGGGATGCCTTGGATACCTATCCCTGTCCCACATGACCTCAGGAATGAGGTCTCTTTATTCGAGGTCCTTCTCTTAGAAATAGTCATCCGTCTTGGCCTCCCCCAGTTTGTGTCTTGACAGTCTCCAAAAGGTTGAAAGCACAAAGCTACTTGACAAAATCCCTTGTCCATCACATCGGACTCTCTGAAAACTATCACCCAAATCTTGGTTCCAACACAAACACAAACGGGTGACCTCGCAAGCTGATGCGTCCAGATTCCTTTTCAGGTTGACGAGAGCTTCTCCAGACTTTCTCCAGCGGCAGGCAACGAGATCGACATGGATGTGTCTGCGTTCGCAGCACCTTCAGTGCAGTTTTAGCAGCAGACTAGGCCTCAGCAAAGCATTCTCTGAAAAAAGAGGTTCTTTTGGCAGCATACAAGCAGCGTCGCAAGAGAAGGACATCTGCAGAGGCCAGCGTTTGTTTCTCATGCATGCCTGCTTTCTTCATCCAATAAATAGGCCACTGAGAGAACCTTCATCTACAAAGCCTTAGGGTTCAGAGGACATCCAAACGGTCTTATCCTAGGTCAGGGGCTCGAACCAAGACTTTTCCTTCTACTAGGATCTTTGTGGGCGATGTTTTAGGCCGATTCTGGAGGTTTTTGCTCTTTGCTTCCGAAAAAACAGACTCAACTCTCATACACCTCACCCGCCTGACCACCGGAAAGACGGTCCCCCACCGCTGATACACCGATCGACACAGGGGTGGATGACTGACTGGGTGGATGTGCATCGGACAGGTGCGCTGCCCGAGAGCGAGCTTGGGTGTCTGACGAATCGGGCGGTTTCGACGCCGAAAGGGGCGAGATGCAGGGATCGCCTCCGTTCGGCCGCCCGGAAGGGGCTGGGTTGGTTGCCAGAGTTCACCACGGCTGTGCACCACAGCTCCAGAACCCTCCACGCACCGAAGGGGGACCAAAAGCCACCGAGACTGCACCCGAAGTGCAGAAGGATTTCAGGTGTTTTTCAACGCCTTTCGTTATTTGGAGCCCCCTTGTCCATGGAACAGGTATCCTTGACAGACAGAACCTGTAAAAACCGAAGACTGACATCGTTTCCTTGAAACCTCTGGTCTAACAGTTTCCGTGGAACCTGCAACCCCCCCCACACAAGGATTCACCTGTCGTGCAAGACTGGAATCTGGCTAGTGCTTAAACCACCACTACTTTGCTGAAATAGTTCTCAAACGTCCAGAGGCCGGACGGTTTTGGGGGCACCCTATGGGGTAGATACATGGGCAGGATTGTTCAATGTCAATGCACATGCTAGCGAAGATTCGGCTCTCCTAAACTGGCCTGAAAGTCCACGCGCTCCACCGGACATTGTTTGACCGGAACAAGCGCTTGACCGGCAAAGGCCACTCGATGTGCCGCGCCGGCGTAGGATTTCTCGCGCGGGTTGGGCTGGGTGGAATTAGGCAGAAGTTGGGCGCCTATCGCCATGTTCGGTCGCCCCAGCTGGCTGGCCATGCCTAAGAAGAACTGGTTTCCACCCTAGGCCAGCCTTGCACCGATATGGATTGAGTGAGAGGATCAGGGTGAAGAGGATATGGGTGATGTGGGTGTGTTCTTCAAACCGACATCTACATCTACTTCTGTTGAAAAACACCAGGGAGAGCGTTGGGGGCTTGGGAAGGAGACATATCGACGGCCAGCTCTGGCACCTGCGCACCTGGTCTGTACATACTTAAACGGCATGATTCGAATGTGCCATTGTGATGCTCTATGTTTAATACATGGCCCTTACGTTAAAGGGGGCCCACCTCAAGACTCCCAGGAATCATTTTAAATGATTCTGGGGGGGTGTGAGGGGGGTTGGTGATATTGATTCTGACAGTCATCCACGGTCAGGATCATTTCCTGAAATCTGCAGAAATTTCCTGACATCTGAACTCTGTACCCAAAGTATTATTGGTATTATTATGTTTAGGTATTATTATGTATTATTGTCGGTGTCCAATGTTTTCCCACTGGGTGTCTAAGAATGTGGTGAGTTATGTGATTTTATATGGAAATGACTGGTGTGGAAATGATTCCAGGGGGGGTTGACATCAGAACTGGGGGTGTTTTTTTGATGTTCTTTGAGGGTAGGGGAGTGGTGGTAGATCTTTAGATGTTTTTTGATGTTTTTACAGGAACCCCAAGAATATCCAAGAATGCCCAGTCTGGGAAATGGACATGGGATCTTTCATGGGTAGTGGTGCCTGGAATGGTAATGTGATGAGAAATGTGGAAATGACAGGTGTGTGGAAATGATTCCAGGGGGGTTGACATCAGAATGGGGTGTAAGGGTAAAATCTTGGAGGGGCTGCACTCTGGAAGGTGGGGTGTTTAGAGGAAACTCCCATACCCAATCTGGGCAAGGGCAATGGAGCTGGGAATTGCAATTTGTTCCACGATTCCACCATGTCGTTCTATTTCCATAGGTATTATAGGTATTATTATGTATTGTTGTCGGTGTCCAATGTTTTCCCGCTGGGTGTCTAAGAATGTGGTGAGTTATGTGTTTTCATATGGAAACGACTGGTGTGGAAATGATTCCAGGGGGGGTTGACATCAGAATTGGGGTGGTTTCTTTTCTTGCCAGAGCAAGAACCCACATGGAAAAACTTAATAGGTTTGGGAGGCTCAGCCATCAGTTGGTACAAGCGCACACGTTGAAAAACATGAAATATTGAAGCAATATGCGTTCCCACCTTTTGCATTGGTGCAGAATCTGTTTTAATACTGTTTTCTGTATTTGATGGACTCTCCAATAGAAATCTGTATGCTTGAGACTGAGGCGAATGCAATTATGACATTGCAACATGTGAAAATGATTCTGGCACATCATTCACATCAAGTTAAAAATTAATGAAAATGATTCTCGGGGGGGTTGACGCCCCCCATGAACCCTCCTGTCAAAAAATGATTCCAGAGAAATGATTCTACTTAAATGATTCTGCCCATTGACGTACCCCCTGGAATCATTATTTAGCGTAACCCCCATTTTAATACTGACTGGTTGTTCAATGATTACCACACCTTAGCTCATCCCCCAAAAACTGCAGGGGTACCCAGTGGGGATTGCACCTGGGTCCGCCTCCCAAGGAATGCGGAACATCGCCACTAGACACCACTAGACCATACCGGCCCTCTCTCTATATGCTTGATACATTTGAAGGTCATGCCAGTTTGTTTGAGCAATCCTCTGCTTGTTTGAGCATCTGCTCAAGACCGAGACTTTTTCTGCAAAGCATCGGCTGAACATCGAAATGATCCGAGTGGCGCAGCATCAGCAGAATGGACTCCACCCATGTTTCCGCGCTTAATTGTAATGCAATCTTGAAATCGAATTCCAAAACCTACAGCTGGCATCTGAAGGGTGGAAAACCCCTGGCTGAGGTGCTAATCAAGATGTTGAAACCCAGGTTTTTCCCGGTCTTTGAAGCTTGTTTGGGCGCCTCGAAAGCACCCAAGGAACCAACTGCATCTGTTCTCGTCAACCGCCGGACCCACCCAATGGTCGTTGCCCTGGACGCTTTTGTGGCGACCGACGTTGTGCTCTGAAGGCTTTGATTAAGAACAAGCCAGAACCATAACAACTAAGAACCGACAGGAGATGTATGTGAACTGGTACGGTATAAATATGAATGCTTCAGTTGCTTTGCAAGTCTTTCACTTCTCATCCCAGCGGGTTCCAAAAGGCATCTAGTTCCACCGTCCAGACGCGGACGCGCTCCGCGCTCGTCCCGCGTGCTCCGTCCATCTCCATCCTTTCGACGCGGATCGCGGGACTCCGCGGACTCAACACGTGACCGCCAGCGTTCGACCTGAGGCTGACCGCGACGCTCAAGCGGTTCGACCGTTTGACCGTTCGGCTCGAGGTCGACCCCTCGAGGTCGACCGTTTTGGACCATCGATCGTTGAAGCATGCATCTGGGGTCAGTCTTCCCCACATCCGACGCCAGTCTCCCCAAACGCTCTCCAGAGCGGGTTTTTTTCCGAAAGAATGTTGCTTGGAAAGTAGTGGGGGGAAGTGGCAGCTTGTACACTCTGACGAACATATCACATGGACGTGGAGTGAAAGCCCCGTATTTGTAGAGGAAAGTCGTCTTTCAAGGGGCCATGCATGGCCATGCCATCCACTTAAACCATGAGATGTCTTCGTCAGAATAGAAACCTTCACCCAAAACACGGAGAGGACACCAGGATCACAGAGGACGCGATCACCAGGAACGATCCATCTGTCAACGGTGCAGTGATCCCCCCATGGACCCTTCACTGCCGGCGGCCCGCGGCGCTCCCCGCGAGTCGAGTTGCCACCGAGCGGTCAAGAGCATTGAAAAGCACATCGTACCGGCATGTGTGCCATGGAGGACAACATCAAACAGGTCACTATGTAAGACTATGTACAGACAGATTTCTTTGAACACATACTGTACTATGGAGCTCCAATTTTGCCCTCAAATCATGTAACAAAGCCCATCTTCCACCAAGTGACGATCCTGTTTACACAGAACACAAGTGCGAACACCAGCAAAAACAAAACACATGGTCAAAATCACAAGTTACTTGGAATAGCCATGAACCCCCAAAGGTAACCCGCAGAAACGTACCCTCCAAACAATTCCAGAACAAACGTACTCGCATGTCGGCGCTTCAAACCACAGGGAGGAAAACCTGCGCAAAGACCGCGCCCGCTGTGCCTTGGTCGGGCTCACACATGCGAGTATGTTCCACCTGGGCGCCGAGGATGTTGCGCACCCAGCTTCCAACAGATCAGCGGATGGTCCGACGGCCAAAAGCGACGTGAGACGTCATCTGCCACAAGAAAAAAAGAAAGCACCATGAAACCGTGGTGGGTGGTGGGTGCAAAGTGAAGTGTGTCTGATGCGTTTAAGGGCATCACTGGCAAAAATCATCAGGGGGATGGCATCTCTTCTTGATCGTACCCAGGTCTGAACTATCTGAAGCGGCAGGGCCACCTTTAAGAATCTCCAACTGGAGGAAGTTCAGAGGTATTCTAAAAGAAGAGAATGATACCTGCTCACCAGCTGGCCTAGAGGAGACTCAGATGTCATTTTCTACACTACATGTTTGGTTCTTTGACCTGCAAAGTTTCTTTTGTTGAATTCGCAGAACCTCTGGCTCGCAGAACCTCTTCACTGGGTCTTTCAACTGCTCTGGTCTCTGGCCGTGAGAACCTCTGGCTTCGCCACGATCGGCTTCCCAACGTCCTGTCCGGCATCCCCGCCCGCCTTCCTTGGTGAAGCGCTGGGGTGGCGCTTCATAGGACGTGCTGCGCTTGATCCAGGACCTCTGCGTTCGGAACCGTGCACCCCACGGCACGGTGCGACGGCGGCGAGGCGTGATCCACCGTGATCGACCGACCCCTACGCGGAGCGACAAGGGCGATGAGGATTCGGACCAGCGAAGGAGAAACGAAAAGGATGAGAAGCAGGTCCTGCGAGTGGTTTCGCCTTGGTCTTGGAATTGGTTTGGAGGTCCTCACAGAACGAGGGGGGATTGGTTTGGAGGTCCTCTTGATGCTTTGCTACTCTTGCAGCATAGCATCGCTCTGTCGGACCAAATAAACAAGCCGTGCGCCATCTATTTACGGTGGACCCACAAACTTCCAAAAATGTGGATCATCTTGACACTCCCCGCTTGCGAAGGAAGGAGGTGCTTGGGTCTAGCCGAGGTTCGCCTTTCGGGCAGGTTTATACAGCTCACCTCGATGCTGATGGTTCAGTCTCCAGGTCAGTCGTGGCACGAGACGGAACCGACCTACGACTGCACGGTGGACGACTGGTCGGGCGGTCACATGGTGGTGGAACCACCTCCAAGCTATCCGGGTGCCTCCTTGCTTGGTCGAAACTGCAAGAGTTCCGTTCAGAAACGGAACGAGGTGTGGAATCGAAACCCATCCACAATCCACAGATATATATATATATATATTATATATATAAAGACTCCCTGAGTTCTCTTTCCTTTTTTACCGCAATGCAAGACCT